GCATCCTCTGGCATGGCTTTTGGCAGCTCAGCTCGTGAATGTGCAGGCTTTGGAGAGTGTTCTCCGGGAGGGAGCCCAGGTTGTATGTGGGAGCCTTGTATGTGGGCACTGTGGAAGGTCCCAAGGGGCTGAGTGTGTGGACAGGCAGGCAGGAGATTCAGGAGGGAGGCTGGTGACATCTTCATCTGTCATTCCTCAGTCCTGTGCAGCTGTGGGGAGGGGCCAGGTTATGGAGTCATCGTTCAGATGTTCAGATTCGTTCCAGTCCCCCAGGCCAACTGCTGGGGAGACCCTTCTTTGTGCTTTTTTCAGGTGCTACCAGAATGTCCCTGGCCCTTCCTAGGCCATAGATTCCTGAGTCCCAGGGCAGGGCATCACCTGGTCCTCCACTAGGGCTGGATTTGTGTCTTACATGTAACCCCTTCACGTCCAGAGTGTGGAGCTGAATGTCTCTAGGGAGCCCCTTCTTGTCCCCTTCAGCCTCCCCTATTCACCCACACACTAGCCATTGCCACTTTGCTGAGGCTGATGGGGGCACCTCCCTGGGGGCTGGCCAGCATTCCTGAGCCAAGAGGGAAGGCCATCTAGTGCCAACAGGCCTGGTGGGCAGGACTGTTCCTTGCACCCTCTTGCCTGCTCCAGAGGAGGGTTGGGAGAGAGGCCTTGGCAAGGGGAAGCTGATGGGTGCAGCACACAGCCTGGGGATGGCCTGATGGGGCAGGGCCAGGGCCTCCCTGTGCCGGGCACTGCTGACTGCTTCTTCACAAGGGCCTTTTGTTCCCTGCACAGGACACACTGAATAATAATTCTCTTGGCAAAAAGCACAGTTGGCAGGATCGGGTGTCTCGATCATCCTCACCCCTAAAGACAGGTGAGTTGAGACCCTCTCCATGAGCTGGGCCTCAGCCTGCCCTGACTCAGTCTCTGATGCTGAGAGCAGACCCAGCGGTCTCCACCTTGCCAAGTGGAGGTCAACTGCCCACCTAGTACACTCTACAAGCCCAGCTGGGAGCTGAGGTCAGCTGTGACATGAGCGAGTCAATTGGCCCCAGAGTCTTCGAGGGGCCTAGTGCCTGGGGAGGCTTTGTCTCAGTCTCTGTGTGGACCAGCTGGTGCAGAGGGAGCAGGTACCCGGGGTCCTGCCCTCAGCACCAACCTGCCTGCCCTCCAGGGGAACAGACACCGCCGCACGAACACATCTGCCTGAGCGATGAGCTGCCACCTCAGGGCAGCCCTGCCCCCACCAAGGATCGAGGCACCTCCACTGACAGCCCTTGTCGCCGCAGTGCTGCCACCCAGATGGCACCTCCAGGTGGACCCCCTGCTGCCGCGCCTGGTGGCCTGGGCCACTCCCATCGAGACCGGATCCACTACCAGGCAGACGTGCGGCTAGAGGCCACTGAGGAGATCTACCTGACACCCGTGCAGCGGCCTCCAGACCCTACAGAGCCCACCTCTGCCTTCCTGCCGCCCACGGAGAGCCGGATGTCCGTCAGCTCGGATCCAGACCCTGCTGCCTACCCTTCAGCTGCAGGGCGGCCACACCCCTCCATCAGTGAAGAGGATGAGGGCTTTGACTGCCTGTCATCCCCAGAGCGGGCCGAGCCACCAGGCGGAGGATGGCGGGGGAGCCTAGGGGAGCCCCCGCCACCTCCTAGGGCCTCGCTGAGCTCCGACACCAGCGCTCTGTCCTACGACTCGGTCAAGTACACACTGGTGGTGGACGAGCATGCGCAGCTGGAGCTGGTGAGCCTGAGGCCATGCTTTGGAGACTACAGCGACGAGAGCGACTCAGCCACCGTCTATGACAACTGTGCCTCCGCCTCCTCACCCTATGAGTCGGCCATTGGGGAGGAATATGAGGAGGCCCCCCGGCCTCGGCCCTCCACCTGCCTCTCAGAGGACTCCACACCTGATGAACCTGATGTCCACTTCTCCAAGAAGTTCCTGAACGTCTTCATGAGTGGCCGCTCTCGCTCCTCCAGTGAGTGAGCAGGGGAGCTGCGGGGCAGCGGGTGGGGAGAGCCAAGACGCGGCATCCTGGTTGGACTAAGAGCACAGAACTCTGCCTGCCCTCCTAAGCCTCAGCCTGAGCTGGGGCCACCCTCCTCCAGCCTGTCCCCTCCCCCACAGGTGCAGAGTCCTTTGGCCTGTTCTCCTGTGTCATCAATGGGGAGGAGCAGGAGCAAACCCACCGGGCCATATTCAGGTGAGGGCTGTACCCTTCCCTGCCTCTGCCATCACCACGCAGCCCAATCCAAACCCTTGCAGTTGACATCTACTAAGCCTCAGGGGTCAGAGTCCAGCTTCTAGGAACTCAGAGCATGGTGACCAAGCGCTGAGGTGCCATGAGGAAGCCAGGACTTGTATACCTACCCTGGCTGGGACACGGTGTCCTGGAGGGAGACCAGAAGGATGACCCTCATCCACTCTCCAGCCCCCTCCAGGCCCAGTGCTCCCCCCATGACCTCAGGACCTCTGTGTCCCTCTTGTCCTGGCCCCTGGCTTCCTAGATGGAAGATGTGGGTATGACGGGTGCTAGTTCCCCAGGAGCCTGCGCTGTGACAGGTGTACATGATACTTTGCAAATATTTATTGAACTAAAGATGCCACTGGCTGGAGAGGTCCTCTGAGGAACTCCTCACATGCCCTTGTTGGGGACAGGTTTGTGCCTCGACATGAAGACGAACTTGAGCTAGAAGTGGACGACCCTCTGCTGGTGGAACTGCAGGCTGAGGACTATTGGTACGAGGCCTACAACATGCGCACTGGTGCCCGAGGCGTCTTTCCTGCCTACTACGCCATTGAGGTCACCAAGGAGCCTGAGCACATGGCAGGTAGTCTCCCTCTTTCACCTGGTGCCACCAGCCCTGGCGTCTGCCTGCCGGCCTTGCTGCCAGGTGAACGTGTGTCCCAGATCTCAGGGAGGAGCATTTCAGGCCTATCTTGTAATGCAGAGTGAGGCCCAGCCAGGTTGGAACTTCTGGGGATTGTGGCACCCCCTGCTGGCCATGTCACTCCCTATGCCTCCCCCTCCCTGTGCTGGGCTGCCAAGCCCACTCTTGCTCACTTCACATTTGCTTTCCAGCCCTGGCCAAAAACAGTGACTGGGTGGACCAGTTCCGGGTGAAGTTCCTGGGCTCAGTCCAGGTTCCCTATCACAAGGGCAACGACGTCCTGTGCGCTGCTATGCAAAAGGTACCTGGATCCGGCTTCCTTTGTGGGTGCCACCTTCAGCCCAGTGCACAGTGTCTCTTGGGGAAAAGGGCACAGGGGTCTAGAGACCCTGGGACAGGAGAGACTGGTTGAGGGACAGATAGCACCTGACGTGTCTCTGTCCTTCACCCAGATTGCCACCACCCGCCGGCTCACAGTGCACTTTAACCCGCCTTCCAGCTGCGTCCTTGAGATCAGCGTTAGGGGTGTGAAGATAGGTGTCAAGGCCGATGACTCCCAGGAGGCCAAGGTGACAACTCTGAGCTGGCCCTTCCTTCCTCAAGCCAATAGCCCTCCCACTAAATTTGCCATGACAGGTGTGCCCCTGCGGCCTCTCTCTTCCTCCTGTAGGTGAATAAGTGTAGCCACTTTTTCCAGCTGAAGAACATCTCTTTCTGTGGCTACCACCCAAAGAACAACAAGTGAGTGGGGGCGGAGGCAGAGGTGGGTGTCGGGGAGTCCCGGAGCCACGCTGGTGTGGGGAGTGAGCTCCGCACTCCTGGACCCCTCTTCCACAGGTACTTCGGGTTCATCACCAAGCACCCTGCCGACCACCGGTTTGCCTGCCATGTCTTTGTGTCTGAAGACTCCACCAAAGCCCTGGCAGAGTCCGTGGGGTACGTGTGTGTCCTGCCAGTTCCCACCAAGGGGCAGGCCCTGGTTGCAGGCCTGGGATCTGGTCCCCTGCGCTGTCGCCCCTCAGTGTGCCCTGCGGCTTTGGAAACCCATCTCTAGACCCTAGTGTGGTGGCCTGGAGGGAGGGCTGGGTGGTCCGGGTGGTTTCCAAGCTGTCAATTGCTGGGCCCTTCCTTCAATGCCAAATTACTCAGGAAGCCAGTTCCACAGAGGACAGAGCTCCGGGGCTCCCACCCGCCATCCCCTACAACCCCGGGTGAGGGTCTTGTGGCCCCGGGGAGGCAGCTAGTGACCCGCGGACCTCCTCCTAGGCGAGCCTTCCAGCAGTTCTACAAGCAGTTCGTGGAGTACACCTGCCCCACGGAGGACATCTACCTGGAGTAGCAGCGCCGCCCTGCCCTCCGCATCCCCTGGGCCCTCAGGCCAGGACAGCTCGCTGCTGACAGGACATGGCACTGCTCAGGAGGAGGATGGCCACCAGAGGACGGGAGAGTGGGGGCTCTTGGCCCGGGGGGGGGGCAGGGTCATAGGGAGAGGCAGGTGCAGTTTATTGTAACATATGGGATTAGATTCATCTATGGAGGTCAGCGGCCGCTGGGGACTGGGAGGGGCAGGGCAGGGCCGGGCGTCGGGCCTCTGGTGTGAAGGATGTACCTTCTGGGAGCAGAGGCTCTGCCCCTGCTGGGCCGTACTTCCCCTGCCAGGGGCTCTGGCTCTCTGACTCTTGGCTTCTGCCTTCGTGAAGCGCACGCTACCTGCAGATGCCACCTTCCCCCTGACCCAAACCCCACCAGCGCCCTGAGCCCGGCCGAGCCCTGCCACCTCCCAAGGACTCTCTAGTAAGGAAATGGCAGCAGGTGGAGGTGAAGTCCCTGTTCCCAGCCATCGTGGGGCCTTTGGTGGCTTCCACCTCCACCTCACTAGCACGCCGGCCCCTGGCAGGCTCGGGAGCTCCCAGGGCAGCAGCAGCCTCCAGCAGGCCCTGCCCAGCAGGGGCAGCCTCCCAATGCCCGGGCCAGTTTGTCATGGTCTTGTCACCCTGGCCATAACAATTAAAGTGCCATTTCCTGTCTGGACCACAGTGGCTGTATCTTCTCACGCCCCCACCCGCATCCCTTTGTCACGCGGCAGGAAAGCCGAGCCTTAGCTGCACAGAACATCTTTATGGGGGCTCCCGTCACAGGTGTGCGTCATAGTAATACTCAGCCATGTCTGGCCCGTCCCGCTTGCGCTGCTCGGCCTGGGAGAGGAGGGGCCGAGGCCCTCGTGGCCCTCGTGGCCAGGGGTGCTTGGGTCGGACCCCATAGTCTAAGGAGAGAAGAGGGAAGGAATGGGGGGAGGAGCCGCTGGGTGGTCGCCTGGGGCGAGGCGGCCCTGGGGGACCAGGGGGTGGGCAGGGGAGGGAGGAGAAGGACTACCATCCATCAGTCCGGAAAGTGGCTGCGAGAGTTCCAGCGGGGCGGAAAACTCCTCAGGAACAGACCGCTGAGACCTGTGGGAGATTTGGGGGTGCTCAGCCTGACCCCAAAGGCTTTGCCACCTCCCTGTGAATGGGAGATGGCCCGGAGTGAGGCAGATGGCAAGCCCCCGAGCCCAGGGTAACAGGGCCAGCCTGTCCTCTGGGAGGGCAGGGGCAGCACACCCTCCAGGTGCTGGGGCCTGGCCTTACCTCAGGGGCTGGGGGCGAAGGAGAGCCGCCGCCAGGATGAGGTACAAGAGGAAGAGACTGAGCCCAGCCCTGGGATACAGAGCCCCCAGCATGGCGAGAACCATCTCCTACACAGGCCCTGATCAGGCTTTTGCCCACCCCTCCCCCAGGATGGAATCCGTTGCCAGCTCCCAGGGCCACCTCACAAAGGACAATAGTTCCGGGGCTCAGCGTCAGCACTTGCTTTGAGGCATGGCCAGAAGCTTCCACCCTGAGGCACGTTCAGTTTTACGGACCCTGTGGGCCAACAGGTCCCAAACCCAATCTAGTGTAAGTGCCCAAGGGGAGCAGGCCGCCGACAAGTCACTTATCTGTGCCTTAGTTTCCTCTCCTGTGAAGCGTGGTCCAGCAGACATCTCCACCCACAGAGGTTACTGCAGGCTGATGACCAGAGTGTGACCAGGCCCCCGGCCTCCCCACCTGTTCCCCCACCATCCCCACCTCCCCTGCTGGCACCTCAGCCCTGGGAAAGTTGGGCTGGCTGAAGGAGCCAGAGGGGCCGCTCAGCCCTAGTGGCCCGGAGTCCTTGGGGTGAGGGGCAGCAGCTCGCACAGCACTTCCTACATTGCCTCCTGTGGCATAAACACATCAGGGGACTCCACAGACACTGGCCCTAGCATTGGATATAGGGTTTCCAAGTGAGGGGACAAAGCTTTGGACCTGTTCCCTCGAGTACTAGCTGCAGGAGAGCAGGGACAGGCTCACTGTGGAATCCCCAGCTTCTGATGCCTAGGAGGTGCTCAGCTGAGAATGTATGGAGTGGACAGTTGTGTCATGAGACACCGAATGCCTCTGCAGGCTGGAGGCAGACTAGTGGCCACCACAGCAAGGTCCTCTCTGCTTCCTGATGCCTTGACCAGAGCGCCTGGCCCCCTCATCCCTGTGCAGGGGCCTGGTTAGCTCCTGTGGCCGCAAGGCGCCACACTCACTCCCCCACTTGCTGCAGTGGTGGTGCACAAACCAGAGGGCTGGGCCTTGGGGCCAGGAGCTTGGGAACCAGGCTGCTCCTGAGACAACAGTCCTGTCAGCTGGCCAGCCCTCTCCTTCACTGCGGAGATATCCAAGGACCAGAAAGGGATGTCCCTTGTTTCCAACCCTGACTCCTGGTCCCAAGTATCCCCCTGAGGCAGACAAGTGCTGGGGTGCAGGCCCTGAGCCACACAGTAACTTCCTAGTGGCCACCTCCCTGTCGTAAAGAGAACATCTCTCCCACAGAACTGTGTTGCATGCCGTATCCCCAGCAAGGTGCTCAGGGACCTGGAGTCCCACTTACTGTGTCAACTCGAGCCTCTCATTTGTCATGCTCCTCCCTCCTACCTACAATGGCCCCCAAGGCCTTCTGGAGCTGCACCTCGTCTCCCACCCCATGGCCTGGATGGGACTCACCAGCCTTCCCTGGAGGCCTCTGCCCCAGGGTCCAGGCTCCTCTTATCCCGCCCTCCAGCCCTTTCAGACACACCCCTTCCCCACAGCCCCAGGCCTGCAGTTTGGATCCTTCCCCTCCAGCCCTGTGCTACCTGGTCCAGCCTACTCCATCCTTCTGCCCTGTGACAATAGTGCTTCACACTGTTCCACATCACTGTGACACCACACAGGTCATCTTCTGCACATGGCCTCATCTTCCCAGACTGCCTGTCAAAAAACTGATGAACACAGATACTGGGCTTGACCCCCGGCACCAAACTGCGAACAACTAAACCAAACACAGAGCAACAGAACCGGAGGGCGGCATAACAGTGTGCGCAGCTTTCTTGAAGGCACTGCTCACACCCAGTCACCACTGCGACACCAGCTACAGCGCTGCCACCCCCTGCTGGTACACTTCCATTTGTCACAAGGACCCTAGTGTGGCACGTGCACACCACACACATCTGCTTTACTACTGTGGGCACTGGAAGCGGGACCCAGGCTCTATGCACCTCTGATCACAGGGTGCGGAGCACAGCCTGGGATGGAGCCGGTGCCAGGAACACTTGTTAGACTAGCTGAAGGTCACGAGGACAGGCTGCCCTCTTCCCTGCCCAAGGGCTGGGCATCAATGCCCCAGCATGGGGCCCAGGGTGCTTCTCACAACGACTTGGGGAGAGCCACGTCAGGGTGAGGCTGCCCCTCCCAGGGCCCTTCAGCAGCCAGAACAGCCTCAGGAGGCGAGCTGAGTACATGGTGTAGGTGGAGCCTCCAGCACCTAAGGGGTGCCCAGGCCGGGCAGCTCCAACAGGAGAGGATCAGGAACACCAGGAACAGGAGAGTCAGGCCCCTCCCACTCCACAACAGCCTGCAGGGCCCCAGGCAGACTCGGTCACCTCGGAGCCCACCAAGCAAGTGCAGGAGACCCCAGCTCACACCCCTGAACTGGCCTGGCTTTCCTCAGAGCCCCAGGCTCCTCTCTCCCCTCACCCAGCCCAGGACTGCCTGGTGCCTGCCCTCTCCCCGGTGGGGGAATGGCTTTGACTCTCAACTGGAGAGCTGGGGTCTGCACAGCATTTTCATCCCATTCAACAGCTGTCACAGGAGTCTGGAAGCGCTGTGGCCAAGAGCACAGGACCCTGCAGGGGAAGGACAAATGGAGGCCATGGCCACACAGCAGAGTGGGCAGTTGTCATCCACTGCAAGGTTGGTTTGGCGGCTCTTCTTCCCCGGGACCAGAGAGCAGTTACTCCCACAGCTGCCGAAGCCCGCAGCTGCCCAGCTCCAGAAGGCGAAGTGCAACTCTCTGTGGCTAGAGGAACCAGGACCCCAGGCCCAGCGGGTGCGAGCAGCAGGGTTCCATCACAGGAGGGTGCCGCCAGTCAAGGTTCTCCGAGGGACAGCATCAGTGGTGACCAGGGCTGTACAGAGCCCGGCCAGAGCAGGGGAGGTGTCAAGCAGTGGGCATGGAGAAGCCACATGCTTGGACGGTGCCAGAGTCAATTTTATTAGGGAAGAGGGACGGAGGTGGGGGGACTGAAGGCTGAGGCAGCCCTGCCCCGGTGGCAGAGCATGTCATCCTGCTCCTCCCGCATCCCAATCCCAAGATGTCTGTCAGCCCCAACTGTAGAAGTAAATTTTCTGCCAAGTAGGCAAGTAATCCATGAGCGGCCCTGCAATGAGAGGGCCGGGTCAGCGCAGGGTCTGGGACGCCCTGCCCCGCCCAGGCCTTCCTCAGCCCCTACCACGCACTTCTCACTGCCAGCAGCCGCCCCTGAAGCCCTCTCCAGCCCCAGGGTGGCAGCATCAGCAGGGATCTCTGTCCCCATTTACAGACAAGGACCCTTAGGCTCAGGGCCGCCAAATGCCTCAGCCATTCAGAGGCGCTGACAGGACTGGGTGGGAGCCACGCTGCCCTCTGCTGAGGTGGGATGTCCAGAGGGAGGACCCTTCCCCACGGGGGAGTCCTCCACCCAGGGGGGACGGCCTTGCCTTTCTCTAGGATGCTAAGAAGGGGAAAGCTGGCAGCACGACGTGGCCTGGCTATCTCCCACCAAGGGCACCCTCTGCCACCCCTGGCTCAGGCCCAGCAACTGTCACCCACCCAATCTTGCCTTTGGGCTCCCACTCTAGGATGTGCCAAGGATCAAATTACAGAGAAAAAGAGCAAACAGGGAGTTGGGGCCGCATGTGTCCCTTACCCCAGAGCCACAGAGTGGCTGCCACACTTACTCGCAACCAGGCCGACACCGGGCACGTGGTCTGCCAGCAGCTGAAGCAGGAAAAGGATTTTGGCCCTGGACAGAGAAACAGGGAGCAGGCTAAGTAGGGGTGTGGCGCCCCTTGAAAGCCTTCACTGACTCCTGAACAACAGGGCCCCCCGGAAGACAGGAGCCGGCAGGACCCAGGACGAACGGGGAGGTGCTGCGTTGGCCCTGGTCTCTGTCCTCGCCCGCCCTGTTCTCCTGGAAGCCCATGTTGGCGGTAGGTGCACATTGCCTCCCAGACGACCTCCTCCGGGTCCTCCTTTCCCTTTTCGCCCCTTCTTTCTACTGATATTCAACAACAGTGGTCTCCAGAGCCTGCAGCAGGGCACGGGCAGTATGCTGGAAGCCCCCAGGGAGAGGATGCCCCCGGCACCAGCAGCCCCATCTATCAGAAGAGCTGAGCCACACAGAAATCTCACAAGCCAACACAGAGCAGGCGGGGCCCCGGGAGGGGACACAGTGCTGAAAAGGGCATACTCTGGCCTGTTTTCCAAGAGATAAAAAGGGGAACTTGACACAAGAGGACGATGATGTCCAAGATAACACTAAGAAATGATGAGGGCGGCCGCGATGAGGGCTGTGTGTGCGGGCGGGCTGTGGCTCACTGGTCGGGTACAGCCCTAGCCCTGGGTGAGTCCCAGCACCAGAGGAAGGGAAGTATAAGGCCATAACATTTGTCAAATGCTTTTGACATACCTGGCATGACCATGACCCTATGTATTGAGTCATATGGCCCCTCAGCAGCCTTGGGAGGTGGGGACTGTCATCATCTCCAATTTATAAATGAGGAAACGTGGCACAGACAAGTCAAGGAAGTGGCTCAAGGCCACAGAACCAGGAGGCAGGTCCACTCCAGAAACTGCTGGACAAAGGGGCACTAAGACGGCCCCGTGTGGACTGCGTCCCAGGGCCCGCTAGGGTTCCTGCTCCCTATCCCAGGGAAACAAGAAGTTTCTGTGGCAGATTCATAGACACGTCTAGTCGGGACCATTGCTCTGGTGGGTCCTAGGCTGCTTGGGTTAGGAGAAGAGTGAGCCATAGGGAAGGGCTCACAGCTCCAGGAGCCACCTCTGCAGTCACTGTCTCAGAATTCCTCAGTTCAGGCATGGGGGAGGGTCACGTTAGTATCTGAAACACTCCCTTCCTGTGTATGGAAGAGGATTTTGCTGTAGTCCCCTATAAATTTTAAAATTTATCTGAAAACAGCGAGGCAATATTAAATGTGACATAAGTTTGTTCTCTATTGTCTCAGGAAAAAACAGGGTTTGGATGGTCATAATATTATTATTTTTGTGGTACCAGGGATTTAGCCCAGGGGTACTCTTCACTGAGTCACATCCCAGCCCTTTTTATTTTTAAAATTTTGAGTCAGAGTCTCACTAAGTTGCTGAGGCAGGCCTTAAACTTTCAATCCCCCTGCCTCAGCCTCCCTAGTTGCTAGGATTACGGGTGTGGGCCACAGCACACGGCCACCTGGTGCGCGTCTTTCAGTTCCAGACCTCTCTGAACCTCAAGTGCCTCCTCTACATCTCTTGGGCTGGAAGATGTAGGAATGAAGCAGAGAGTATGGAGATCCCGCACCTGCCACTGGTAGTGGGTGCCCCTTACAACGCTCTCTAGCTCGCCCTGGGTGTCCCTCCTGAAAGCATGGAAGCTCACATAGGCATGCGCTGACGGCCTGAGAGCGGAGGCTGGCATTTGGTGACTGCTTCCTGGATAGAACATGGTGGGTGCTTGGTGAACCCACAGGGGAAGGAAAAGGAAGGCACGGGGGTGTGGCAGCACGGCCGGCCCCGCCCTCTCCACCCTGGCCCTGGCCTGGCCAGCATGTCCTGGCAGGGTGGGGACCTTACTCAGAGAAGCGGTCGTAGAATGGGGAGCGCAGCAGGTAGAAGAGCAGCAAGATGGTGCGGCGCCGCAGCTCCAGCCGCTCCCTGCGGGTCAGGCCCTTCCTGTCACTCAGGAGGCTCAAGCTGGGAGTACGAAAGGATGCCGTCAGGGCTGAGCCCAGCTGGCACTCACACGAAGGAAGGAGCCACAGGGGTGGCAACAGGGGAAGCACGAGCCACTGCCCAACCAGGTGAGGCCCGGCCTGCGGTGGAAAGACCTGGGGAAGGGAGTGAAGCCCCCAGGAAGACCCAGGCTCACCTGGTCACGTCCACAACAGCAGACAGGAGCCAGGGTGTCCATGACCGCTGACCCCAAAGGCCTAGGCTGAGCACTGCCGGCCGAGGTGTCAAGGATGTCTCTGGCAAAGGGCCTGGCTCCGCCCACTCCCGTGATCTACTGCCAGCCCCCAGGGCCAGTCCCAGTGAGGCTAAGGATACGGTGCAGCAGGGGACGGGTGATGTGCAGGGACTCTGCGATGGTTTCCTGCAGCCCCAGGGGTGTGGGGGGGATGCTCAGCTCCTCGTGTTGCTGCGGCTCTCGCCGCTCTCGTTGCTGGGGGGCTCCCCAGTGCCTTGAGTGCAGGGAGGGGGCTAGAACACAGGACAGCAGACAAGCAAGCCAGGTGAGGGCAGGGGACGGTGGGCACCAACAGAAGCCAGTCCCTCAGGTCCACACTGACCTCAGCACCTAGAGGCCCGGTCCAGCTACATCTTCACTTACTGTTTTGCAGGGTTCGCACTACTCGGTTTGACCGCTTCCCCACATAGGACTGCTCCTGGCTTCCTGGGCTGTGGTCACCATCTAGCAGGGACAGACAGAAAGCTGTACTTTCTTCGCAGACTGGGGCCTGCGAAGAACACATGTGCAATGAATGATCAGGGCTACAGGGAGGATTAAGAGGTTTGCACTAAGGCAGCAGCCAAGTCCAGGAAACTGGAGCCAGGGGCTGTGGTTCCTGGCTGCACCTATCCACAAGAGCCAGGGGCTGTGGCTGCACCTGTCCACGGGGAGAAGCATTCTGGAGCCTCCCAGTCCTGAGAAAAGGTTAGCATCATCTGTAGCCAAAACTAGCCAAGAACTCGGGCTTGCCGGGCAGCAGAGCAAGGCTGGGAGGGCCCAGCCCAACCGCAGCCATACGACTACTGCACCACACATCTCTCAGTCCTCTGCTTTCAACCTGACTATGACGAACAGCAAAGCACTGCATGCACTCAAGGTGGAAAGAGAGGCCTGGGCCTGACAGATGGTGGCCTAAGCCCCAAAGGGACAGAGCTGCGGGGTGCCCTGCCTCTGGCTTGTGACATAGAACCAGGCCCAGAGGCGAGGCTGGCAGAACCCCTAGCTCCTGCTGATGCTCCATGCCCTCTTCCTGAAGTTCACAATAAAGACTGAGGTCTCTGGCATCAGGAGTCCCAAGTTCTGGGCTGAGGCTGTAGCTCAGTGGTACAGGACTTGCCCAGAATGCCTAGCATGCCCAAGACCCTGGGTTCAATCACCAACCCCGGAAAAAAAAAATCCCAAGTTCAAGTTTTGATTTGTTCCCAATCTAATCATTTTTTTCCTTCTCTGTAGAATGTAGAGTGATGGGAACAAAATGAGCGGACGGGAAATGTACTCCATATGTGGATAATAATGTATTCATGCTTGTGGGCTCTAAGTCCACAGACCAGTCCCGTGCCCCATTCCACTCCAGAGCCAGGAAGCAGCTTACCCGAGGACTGTGCCTGGGTCTCCCTGTCCAGCGGAACAATGGGGGGTGAGGTCTGGAGGCCAGCCTTGAACCAGATCAGCAGGAACATCCGCAAGACAGCCCTGGGTTGGGGAGTATAGCAGGGCTGGGAGGAGGTGGCTAGCCAAGCAGGGGACAGGAGTGCTCTGCTGAGCACCATCCTTACAGCTGGCCCAGGTCACCCCACCCAGATTCTGCCCTCCACAGCCCGACCTACTTGGCCAGCTGGATGAGGGCAATGACGAGCCAGCGGCCCACTTCGCCCCACACCTTGGCAGCCCCCATCTCCATGAACACCTCCACGCACTCCAGCACGCTCAGCCATGTCAGCAGCTTCTGCTGGGATAGCGACTGCAAGAATTCCAGGCCAAGAGGTCAGGGGGTTGTCCCAGTCACAAGCCCTCCCGCTGTGAGGGACAGAGCTCAGTCCCCCTGAGTACATAACCCTGAGTTCAAACACCAACCACCACTAACAGGCTGGCCTTAGGGATAGGTGCCTCCACCTCTCTTAAATTGCCTCTTCATCTGAGATGGGGACGCTAACACCTGGTTTGAGGCTTAGGTGGTTGTAGGTCTTCTCATACCAAGAGAGTAACCTGCGTGGCACACACTACTTGCTCCCGAGTCCCTGTGTCCCCACCCTCAGCACCTGGCAGAATTCTCACCACAGGCAACTTCTTCCGCAGTTCCTTCCGAAGGATTCCGTCATTGAGCAGCACAAGCAAGTTAGAGGCAGAGTACACTGAGGGGGAAGAGTGTGGCCTTAGCAGGCTGGCTCTACAGCTCCATCCCCCTCACCTCTCCAGAGCTCCCGAGATGACCCATCACCTGCTGTGCTTGGCTTCCCACCCACAGACTATGTGGAAACCAACCTGCCTCTCTGCCCTGTTCCTCAGAGCTCCACACTCCCTATATGACCTCGTGTGAGTCGTGGGACCAATAAGAGAGATCAATCTCAGAGGCAAACCCAATCCCGTCCTGTTAGTTCTGGTCATCCAGCTCCTTACAAATAACTGCCCGGAGTGCCCCCAACAACCACAAGTGTGGGGCTCCATCTCCTCTGCTCTGCCCTCTCTAGTCTCCCTGAAAGTCTACACCATTTGTACCTTTCAAAACCCACCCCACCTTTCAGGACTGTCACCTCCAGTGCTCATTTGGCAAACACTACTGAGGCATGTATAGTTTGGGAATCCTGGAATCTGGATTTGAATCTTGATTCTGGCAGCATCAGTGGCTATACCTAACCTCGTTCAACTTCTGTTCCTTCAACTGGACAGTGAGGACAACAGTGCCCACCTCATTGTAGGGAGGCCTAACTGGCATAGGCAGGAAAGGTGCTTAATCCAGGGCATAAACAGTAGCGAACACTCAAGTCCTCACACGTGTCTCCCAACTTCGGGGACAGAGAGCTCTGGACCGCCGCAACGGACCTTAGTCGGATTCCGTCAGCGCACAGAACGATCTAGTGGACAGCCGGCGCTCAGGCCGGTGATTGCGCCCGCCCGCGGCAGCCCTCGCAGGCCCAGGCCGCCCCTCCCCTCCCAGAGCCCGACTCACCCAGCTCGGACAGCTCGTGCGAATCAGAGAAGCGACCTGGGGAGACCGCACAAGAGACCTCGGTGAGCCTGTGCCTCCCCCAGCAGCTTCGCGACCCCGGTCTTCCCCTCCCTACGCCCTACGGGAACTTGAATGGGACTTCTCAAGCACAGAGATGACTCCTCTGAGTCCGCAGGGAAGGGAGCCATTGGGGTCATAGGTCAAGGCCCTGAAGGAATGGGTCAAAGGTCAGTGGCACCTGCCAGCAGGTAACTGAGGCCCCGCACTGCCGTCTCCAGCTGAGCCGTGGCGGCCGGATGACGAGTCACGTACTCCTGGTAGCGGAGGCCCAGGAGCCGCAGCTTCTCCATCCTGCCCTCGGGACCAACAGAGCCACGGACCGACAGAACAACGGGCTGCGGCGCCCTGCTTCCTGTGCCCTCCTTCCTGCTTCCGGTACTGGACCCGCCTCCCCGTTGCTTAACTTCCGCCGGCCAGAAGGATGGTGACGTGAAAAGCCTTTGAACCACCTTTCACCCGATCTCTGAAGTCACCTCCCGCTCGGATAGCGCCTAGAAACTGCGGGCCTAAACCCGCCCTCCCTCCTCCTTCAAGTCATTGGCTAACACACTCTCCGCCCCCGACTCACCCAAAGCCGTCACGACCCGGCTCTTAGGCCTTCTTGGTTGGTTGCCCTTGCGCCTGCGCAGTTGAAGCTCAGCGGCAGCCTGGGCAGTTCATTCTAGAGCAGAGGGTATGAACCTTGAGTCTTTCCAATAGAGCGCCGAGAGGTTCGAACGGGAAGACCCGTTCGCACGGGTTTTAAGGGTCTGGGAGACAGCGTGCGGAGAAGAGCTTCGATCAGATTTGGGGAGACTCAGGGAGTCTAAAAAACAGCCAGGGGCTGGGGATATAGCTCAGTTGGTAGAGTGCTTGCCTTGATGCACAAGGCCCTGGGTTCAATCTCCAGCACCACCAAAAAAAAAAAAAAAAGAAAAGAAAAAGAAAAAGAAAAGAAAGAAAAGCCAGATTGTGTCTCAGCAGGTGCGCATTTAGCCAGTTGCCCCGTCTCCAGTCCCCCACAAGAGGTGGGGCTTGGGAAAAGGAAGCAGAGAGGAGGCCAGCCTCCCAGGGCAGTCTCATTCCCCTAGTCAGCTTAGTGCCCTGGCTTTGACTCAGATCCTCAAGAACTGAATATCCCAAGAACGCGCATCTGGACGCCCACGTTCGCGGAGGAAAAAGCAAAAACAAAAACCAAGAAAACCCTCGCCAAGCTTCTGCTTTCAGCTCGGGATGACCTTGGGCTCTAGTGTCCCTTCTCTGGGCCTCAGGTTTCCCTGTCTATAAGCTGGTTAGAAAACAGACTTGGTCCTTGAACTCGGATCAATCTCAGAGAGATTCGTAGCCCTCGGACGCATCTCTCCTGGCCCTCAGCTGCGTCCCAATGAACCGGAGTTGCCTTCCCAAACCCAGCAGTCGCCCTGCAAGGGGAGGTGGCGGCCGGGCGGCGCTCCGGAGAGGGAGCTGATTGGCTGTGGGACAAGGGGCGTGGCTTGGCTGCGCCATTGAGTCCGCGGCCCGCGGATTTATGGCACCCTGAAAACAGTAATACATTATTATACCAGTTCCCTTTCAGATACTATATCCAAACGAGGAAAGAGTCTACTTAAGATCCACTGTCTAGGACTTTGAAAAAAGGTCACACTCGCGGGGAAGCCACAACCCTTCCTTCCACTCCTTCCTCTCCAATCCTGCTTGGGGAATTAGAGCTGCCCTCCCTGTGCGTGCCAAGGAATCAAGACGTGGCCGGGAGCCTCAGAAGAGGCAACGGTCTTGGAGAACAGGAGACCATCATGGCATATTCGAGGTCATTTTTGGTCACCTCCTAGGTACCATGCTCACTTACATTCTCCCCTTGGCAGCTTTGCCAGTTTGGTAGAACCCCTGTCCATAGATGGAGAATTAGATGACTAAGGAAGGGAAAAGACTTGGCACAGCAAGTCATTGATCAAAGGGGCTCCCAACAGTGTCCTCTTGCCTATTGCCCTCAGCCCAGGAGGAATATACATTGAGGCTCTTTGGTCAGGAGGCAAGCTGGCAACTGGGATTAGAACCTGGGCAGTGACTCTTTCTTTTCCTTCCTTCATCTCATGATCTTAATGACCTTGTTCCCCTTTGGTCACTCCCCCAGCCCTCTCCTACAGCCGTGGAGAGTCAGGAGGGTCTGTGTACAAGCTTTCTTCAGCCCCTTCTCCAGGGCTGGTGATCCTGTGCTCTGGGAAGAAGGGAGAGGCAAGGAGGACAAAGAAGTAGTCCCCCATCCCAGGTGCTAGGGTTGGAGCCTGTTTTCCCGCCTTTCCTCCAGGGAAGGACAGCATGGGCCCAGCCCAGTTGGCGGCAGCAGGGCTACCTGAATTTCCTCTCTAGATCCTAAGTCTGATTAGGCCTCAGAAACAAAGAGTGGCTATGTGCCGGAGGCCTCCCGGCTTGGACCCCTGCCTGGACCAGGCCACCTGTCTTGGCTAGAAGAGCTTCTGGGCAGGTTGGGCTGGATTCTCCCTCCAGCCTGCCTCAAGTCACAGGGGAAGAGAATTAGACCAGTCCAACAGGTACTGAAGACATAGGAGGCCGGGAGGAACTGAGTCCACGGTCACACAACAAAGTCCTGGGCCAAACCTGGTCTCAGGCCCAGAGGACCAGCACAATTTCATATGCCTATACTTATCCACCTTTCCCTCTGCACACTCTTAGAACCACACCTCAGAGGTTCGGAAGACACATGGGCCCTGGCTTCCCCCCTGAGTGCTAAGGTTGAATGAGAGGAGGGGCCAGCATTAAGAATGACCACAGGGAGATCTGCAGTCCCAGTTACCTGTCACTTTATGCAAGACTTATCCTGGGCCAGAAGCCCTGCCTGCTCCCTCACATTCAACCCCCACAAGGAGTCTATGCTGAAAACTGTGGGGAGGGAATCTACCACCCCCACCCCAGCTATTGCTAGACACAAAGACCAGGGAGTGGAAACTGCAAACTCTGGGTGCTTCAGTGGCCCCTGCATCCCCCCATCTTCTTTCAGATGTACAAGGAGCTGCCATCAGTCTCCACAGTAATCATTACTCCTGTTCTCCAAAGGCTGACCCCCATCTCCCCAAGAAAGGCTTCCTGACTTCAACCAGGAGGACCCAGTCTCAGGCTGGGCTGCTCTGTTTGGATCTGCTTCACTTTTTACTGTTGGACATTGAGCTAAAGGACCCAGCCTGAGCCCCTTTCCAGGTCTCAGTGAGGCCAGGTGGAGTCCATGGAGGGGAGATTCTCTTTTCCACCCACTCTCCACACATCCTGAGCATTTGGTTGGGCACCCTCTCCCAGCATCGGACCTCCAGCAGCTTGCATTCTAGGCGGGGGACAGTCTATAAATCAGCAAACAACTTCAACTTTCCCGGAGTGGCAGAAAGAAAATAAATAAAGGAATGTGGAATGAATATCTGCATTCCAGGCAGAAGGAACAGGTCAAAGGCAAGTCCTGGGGCAGGAGACTCTTAAGGAAGGAGGAGAAACTCCTGGTGCGGCACGGAATCTGGGGGAGGGGCAGGAGAGGAACAGCCGGACAATCGGGAAGGGACCAGAGGTATTCTTATCTAACACTTGAACTCTCCTCCAGGGAGGGTCAGGCTGTGTCCTCGGATTGATTAACTGAGATGAGGCGTGTCAAACCCTTAGCACTGGGCCTGGCACCCAGTGTGCACGCAGCCAACCGTGCCTTCTTGTTCACAGTCCAGAGGGAGGGCCTAGAGCCCCTCCAGGGCCAGAGGCGAGGCTGGGTCCTGCTTCAGAGTGAAGAAGCAGAAAGGAGGGGAGGGAGGAAGAAGAGAGCCAGGCCACGGTGTCGGCCACAAATCACAACTATCTATCAAGGGTGAGGGGTATTCGGCCCTGCGCAGAAGGCCCTCGCCAGCTCCTGGGCAGGAGATGGCCTTCAAAAGGGCGCTTAGTCCGGGTCGCTCCAGGCCGCCATTGGGCCAGCCAGCTACCTGGACTGAGGGTGCGGGGAAGAAGGCGGAGGATCCAGGTGCTCGGCGGCTTCGGGACAAGTCTCGGCAGGCCCCGCCTCCTGTCCCCAGAGCAGGTGTCGCCTACTCCGCAGCCTAACATTCCAGTCCCTTCCCTTTTACTCCAGCCGGGCTCCCGCTGGCCCTTTGATCCCGAGCCCGGGGTCACCAGCCCCTCCCCTCAGGGAGGTTAAGGGGAAGAGATGGGGCCCCAGAGCAGGGACGAGGGGGATGGGCTCAGAGCAGGTAGCGAGAACTGGGCCTTCCTGGGTGGCTGACCCCACTCGCTCCAGCACTCCCCGCCGCTGGTAGAAAACTCTGCCCAGAAAGGGGGTTCCCAGTTCTAGCGGGCTGGGGGGCCATCGGGTGGCGGGACAGGGCGGGGCCAGGCCCTGGGGGTCTCCCCGCCCCTTCGAGCTCAGCCAAGCGGAGGTGAAACCTGAACCCAGGTTGGGGGCGGGGCTGGCCCGCGCCTCTCCCCTCTTCCCCGCACCCGGCCGGCAGCTGGAAGAGCTGGGCCGGGCTCCGGAGCCGCTGGAGCAGGTGAGGGCGGCGACTCCGCGCGGGAAGGACAGCCGGGCGCCCGTCGGGCCCCGCAGCGCAGTCCTAACCCTCCTCTCCTCGGTCCGCAGAGCCCGCAATGGAGCCGGCAGCCCGGGGTCGCTCCCCGCCCTGAGCACCCCGCACCAGGCCATGCTGCCCCGAGGGCGCCCCCGGGCGCTGGGGGCCGCCGCGCTGCTGCTGCTGCTCCTGATCGGGTTCTTTCTCTTGGGCGGGGACCCGGAGTGTGAGCGCCTCGAACCAGACGGGAGAGCTGGGGACCTGGGGTGCCCCCGGTGCCCGCTCACGCCACGTGTCCCCTCAGACGGGAGGCTGCGGGGAGCTTCTGCCCTCCATGGAGACCCGCTGGCGGGCCATTGGGACCACAACCGCTCGGCCTGCGACCCGTGGCCGCAGCTGCCGCCCAAGTGCGAGGTAGGTGCCCTCGGCCTCTGGGGTTGTGACCCAAGGGGCCCCGCGCCCCGAAGGACCAGCTGGATACCTGTGGAGGAAATGACACCTGGCACTGACCAGCCAGCTGAGGGAGCCTCCAGTGCACATGTCCTCTGCTCCTGGCCTCAGTTTCCCCACTTGTGAAATACAGGGGCTGTTTGGCCGCACACCGTTCCCAAGCTCTGATGCCAGGTTGGGCTATGCCCATCAGTGGAAGCGGGGGACTCCTTATGTATGACCTGAGTGTCCCCTCCCCAGCTCTTGCACGTGGCCATCGTGTGTGCCGGACATAACTCTAGCCGAGAGGTCATCACCCTGGTGAAGTCCTTGCTCTTCTACAGGTACAGCCAGGTGTCCTTGGAGGAGGGTCAGGAGTGGGAAAGGGGAGAAAATCTCAGCAAGTCACTGGTCTTTGGGCTTCAGCTACCTCCTCTGTGGCAGGGGGATGGCATCCCCTCCTCCCGCAGGGATGGCTGCTGACTGTCCTGAGCAGGCCGTGGAAAGCCCTTTGCTCCAGGCGGAGCTACCATCTCTGAGCTCCTGGAGGTGAGGGTCGCCCCATTTTGTTCCTCCTGGGGCTTCTCAGGACTTCTCTCTGTTGATCCTGAAGGAAAAATCCACTGCACCTCCACCTGGTGACTGATGCTGTGGCCAGAAACATCCTGGAGACGCTCTTCCGCACATGGATGGTGCCTGCTCTTGGGGTCAGCTTCTACCATGCCGAGCAGCTCAAGGCAGGAATCCCGCCCCCTCCTGCCCACCAGAGTCCACACTGCTCCTTACTCCCACCGCTTGGTGATATGGGGGAGGAGAGTCCCTGTCCCCTGTCTCATCACACCTACTGAAGTTCACATCCCTCTCTTTTTTGAGGTCCTCTTCTTCCCACTGTGTCACTGACTATGTTCGGGCACCCATGGCCTCCTTCTCTGCCAGCTCATGCCCTGCCCTTCCCACCTACAGCCACAGATCTCCTGGATCCCCAACAAGCACTACTCCGGCCTCTATGGGCTAATGAAGCTAGTGCTGCCCGGTATCCTGCCCCCTGGCCTGGCCCGAGTCATTGTCCTGGACACAGATGTCACCTTCGCCTCCGACATTGCAGAACTCTGGGCGCTCTTTGCTCACTTTTCTGGTGAGAGGCCTGGGCCCTAGCCCTTCCTTGCCAGCCCCTTCCCTGGCTTGCCCAGGCCCCCCTGTGGTCTAGCCCAGAGCCCAGGTCCTCGGGCAGTCTTGGGCAGTTCCCTCATGCCCTCCCCTCCCAGACAAGCAGGTGATCGGGCTCGTGGAGAACCAGAGTGACTGGTACCTGGGCAACCTCTGGAAGAACCACAGGCCCTGGCCTGCCTTGGGCCGGGGATTTAACACAGGTGGGGATAGTGGTCGGGGAGGCAGGAGGGGTGGGCTGCTGGGCCCCAGGGGCTGGGCAGGGCACAGAAAGCTAGGAAGCCCCCAGGAAGAATAGTGCTATGGAAAACCCACTGGATGAAGAGCTGAAAACAGTTTGACGTCGGCTTCCCATGCTGGGTGACTGCGGCCAGCTCTCCTGGTCCCTCTTTTTACTCATTCATAAAATGGAAAAAGTGTGAATAGCTCTGGCATCACTAAGTGTTAGATGGTGGCTGCGGGGTGCTCGGCAAGCTGTGTGGTATTCAGTACCTCTGCTCTGTCCCCAGAGGACTGGTGATTGACAGCTCAAGATTACATCTGAACTATCAAAAAACACAGTCCTGCATTAACAATGGGGATACATTCTGAGAAATGGGTTGCTAGGCAATTTTGTTGTTGCCCAAACATCCCAGAGTGTACTTGCACAAATCTAGGTGGAATGGCCTATACACCCAGGCTGGGGGATGTGGTCCTGTGTTCCTAGGCAGCACACCTGTGCAGTGTGTAACTTGTGCTGAATGCTGCAGGCAGCTGTGACACAGTGGTGAGTGCTTGTGTCTTAACATAGAAAAAGTACAGTAAAAATGCCAGGCAACAGTAACTTTTCAGTTTCAAATCCTTTTTTTTTTTTTTCTTTTTGGTACCAGGTATTGAACCCAGGTGCACTCAACCACTGAGCCACATCCCCAGCCCTTTTTATATTTTATTTAGAGACAGGGTCTTGCTAAGTTGCTTAGGTTCTTACTAAGTTGCTGAGGCTGGCCTTGAACTTGTGATCCTCCTGCCTCAGCCTCCTAGGCCTCTGGGATTACAGGGGTGCACCACCACACCCAGCCACCCCCAAATAATCTTGGGGAGAGGGACCCCTTGAATATGCCATCTGTCATTGACTATAATGCTATGCAGCACAGGATTATATCCATAAATAAAAAAAAATCAGCATTCAGTTGGTACCTTCACAACCCCTACCCCCCAGGAACTTGTCCCTGGTGGGCATGACAGCCTCTCCCCATTGGCAGGTGTGATCCTGCTGTGGCTAGACCGGCTTCGGCAAGTGGGCTGGGAGCAGATGTGGAAGCTGACAGCTCAGAGGGAGCTCCTCACCCTGGCTGCTACCTCCCTGGCTGACCAGGTCTGGGAGAACCTTTGGGTGGGTGGGGCGGGCAGGGGGCTGAGGTGTGATGGCTGTCTCTGCCCAGGACATCTTCAATGCTGTCATCAAGGAGCACCCGGAGCTGGTGCAGCCCCTGCCCTGTGTCTGGAACGTGCAGCTGTCTGACCACACGCGGGCAGAGCACTGCTACTCTGAGGCGGCTGACCTCAAGGTGAGTGGTGCAGGGGGCTAATGGAGGTGGGGGACAAGGACGGGACTCCTGTATCCTGCCCTCATCCCCCTGCTCATACCCTCCTGGGTCTTAGGTGATCCACTGGAACTCGCCAAAGAAGGTGCGGGTGAAGAACAAGCACGCGGGATTCTTCCGCAACTTCTACCTGACCTTCTTGGGGTACGATGGGAACCTGCTGCGGAGAGAGCTCTTTGGGTGCCCCAGCCAGACCCTTCCTGAGGCTGAGCAGGTTAGAGGGAGCCACCCTCCCTGCCCTGGGGGAGGCCCGTCCCTTCCTGTTCTGGTGGATCCCAGCCTTGGCCCTTTTCTCTGCCTGCTCAGTTGCAGCGGGCCCTGGCACAGCTCGACGAGGAGGACGCCTGCTTTGAGTTCCGGCAGCAGCAGCTGACCGTGCACCGTGTGCACATCACCTTCCTGCCCCATAAACCACCACCTCCCCGGCCACACGACATCACCCTGGTGGCCCAGCTCTCCATGGACCGGTGAGGGTGCTGAAGGCAGCCCCAGGGAGTGCTTCCTGGCTGGGCCTGGGGGTTTCAGAGAGGCAGCTTTGAGTGGGTGGCAGTGAGCTGCCTGTCCCTGGACCAGGGGGTCCAGCAGTTGGCGACTCTGGTTCTGGTGGAAGGAGCTTGAGCTTCAGGTGCCTAGAACTGCTGCTTGGCAGGGTGGGATCATGGGCAGGTCCGAGTATCTCAGTTCCTTAGCTACGTTTTCTCATTTGTTAAATGAAGAAGTGCCGCTTGCAGGGTAGTTGTGAAGATGAAATAGGACTGGCTCAAATTGGAAGTGGGGGGAGGAGGTGTCCACAGCAGCTCACTTTGGGGAGGTTTTCCAGGCCCCCCTGGGCCTCTGTGCAAGAGGCTGACCTCCCGCCTCACCCCAGGCTGCAGATGCTGGAAGCACTGTGCAGGCACTGGCCGGGCCCCATGAGCCTGGCCTTGTACCTGACGGATGCAGAGGCCCAGCAGTTCCTGCATTTCGTCGAGGCCTCGCCCGTGCTCTCTGCCCGGCAGGACGTGGCTTACCATGTGGTGTACCGTGAGGGTCCTCTCTACCCTGTGAACCAGCTCCGCAATGTGGCCTTAGCCCAGGCCCTCACGCCTTACGTCTTCCTCAGTGACATTGACTTCTTGCCTGCCTACTCTCTTTACGACTACCTCAGGTGAGCCCAGAGGTTATGAGGAACTGCATTTAGGATGGATATTGCCAGGGTTGGGATCTCTGTAGAACTCCAGGCCGTGTCCTGTTCCTTTCTGGTCTCAGTGTGCTCTGCACAATGGGGTTTGTATTAGGGTGTGTCTCTGGGCTGCCATTAGAGTCAGGGAGGCTGGGACTTCTTCAAACAGAAGTCACTCTGTGTCTACTGGGGGCTCCAAGGTTAGCTGTCCTTTGAAAGGCAGGTCCTGTGGCTGAGCTTTAAGTTCTCTGAGCCCGCTCCTCCAGGGAGAGGCCCTTCCCTGCCTTCATGGGTGCTCCTCCTAGGGCCTCCATTGAGCAGCTGGAGCTGGGCAGCCGGCGGAAGGCAGCTCTGGTGGTGCCGGCGTTTGAGACCCTGCGCTACCGCTTCACCTTCCCCAGTTCCAAGGCGGAGTTGCTGGCCTTGCTGGACTCTGGCTTGCTCTACACCTTCAGGTAGTCAGGCTGCTGCTCTGCTCAGCTGTGCCCACCCTGCACCAACGAGCTCCTAGCCTCAGCCTGGCCCCTGCCTGATCCCACTGCACAGGTACCACGAGTGGCCCCAGGGGCACGCGCCCACGGACTATGCCCGCTGGCGGGAGGCTCAGGCGCCATACCGGGTGCAATGGGCAGCTGACTATGAGCCCTATGTGGTGGTGCCACGTGACTGTCCGCGCTATGACCCTCGATTTGTGGGCTTTGGCTGGAACAAGGTGGCCCACATCGTGGAGCTGGATGCGCAGGTGAGGAGGGTGCCTTGCTGCCTCCAGTTTCCATCTGAACAGGTCCACTCTAGCGCCTCTGCCTGGCAGCTGCCCTTTGGTCCCCTTTGGTCCCTGCCTCAGTTCTCAGGGGCTGCCTTGTAAGCCTTTCCCCAGAGCTGCAGGCTCCCGCCCAGCCTGCCCCTCGCCTCACCTGCTGCAGGAATTTGAGCTCCTGGTGCTGCCTGAGGCCTTCACCATCCACCTGCCCCACGCACCGAGCCTCGACATCTCCCGCTTCCGCTCCAGCTCCACCTATCGCGACTGCCTCCAGGCCCTCAAGGAGGAGTTCCATCAGGACTTGTCGCGCCGCTATGGGGCTGCAGCCCTCAAATACCTCACTGCCCTGCAGCAGCCGCGAAGCCCGGCCTGAGCCGCCTGGGCTGGGCCTGCTGGGGGCTCGCCTAAGCACTCACACACTCTCTGAAGTCACCAGGGATGCTGCCACTCGGCCCCCAGCTGTCCTCCCACCGTCTGCTATTTAAATTATTTAAGGACTCTGTGGGCGTGGCTCGGGTGGAACGCTGCTGATCCTGGGTGCCTCCCCTGCCTGCCTTTACCCCAGCTGGTTTGGGGCTGGCTCCCCTGCCCTCAATTGTACATCACTTTTTCATAAGTAAAGTTTGAAAAGGTTCTTTTTATGTTCCTTTTGATTTGGGGGATCAAGGGCTCTCCAGGGTCTGACGGCATCCGTGGACAAGGGGGTGCTCCCTGGGTACTGTCACAGCATGGCCAGAGAGGCCTGGGGCAGGCACTGCAGCTGGGTCCCACCCAGGCAGTGAGAGTTCCCGGGAGGGCAGAGGCTGGAATTTGAGTGGGTCTTGAGTTTGTGAGCCCTGCCCTTCCTTTACAAAACCAATACCATGAGGCTGAGAGACTTTATTTGGCTTTATTTAGTAAAATGTTAAAATAAATAAATACAAATTGATCAGCTGCTCTGTTTCCCCCCACCCCCTCAAAACAAAAATCAAACAAACAAAAACAAAAACTTTGAAGCACAAAACTCCAAATACAAGTTCTACCAAGACTGAAATCACAAAGGGCATGGACAAGAGACAGGATTGGGGTCTGGCTGGCTCTCCTCTGCGCCTGCGCTTGCTGACCTCTGGCCTGTCTGTCCCGCCCTGCCTGACTGCAGCTCACACTGGGCTGAGAGGCGGGGAGGCTGGAGAGAGGCATAGGGCTCAACAGCTGTGTGGAGTGGGGGTCCTCAGGGAGGAAGAGCCTTGGGAGAGGGGGTGCCAAGCGGAGTTTGTGAGCCCTGCCCTTCCTTTACAAGCCTGGCTCTCTGGTGGGGTAACCCCAGCTTCCTCCCCTTCCCCTGGTGGGAGGGCCCGTGGAGTCTTCCCAGGGGCCACCACTCCCTTCCTGGAGAGGAGCTGACAGGGGCACAGGGGGTAAGCCCGTGGGAATGGGGCTCCTGTTTGCTGCCAAGGGTGCTGGCTGAGGGGTGGGGTGCGGTCCAGTCACTTACACAGCCTCGCTGCCTCCATCCACAGAAGCCATGGGAGTGGAGAACCTAGGACCTGGAAAATGTGCCCTGGCCCTATCCATCCTGGCACCCCAGGAGCCTTCTGCCCCTGGGTGAAAGTCTCCTGAATTCAGCCCTTTAGATAAATAAGGACCACACCCAAGGAGGGAGAAAAGGTAAGAGACCACTTAAGAGTGTGTGAGCAGCGGCCTTAGTGATGAGAGCGCCCAAAGGGGCTCCGATGGCCCGAGAGAGGAAGCATCAGGGGTGGCGCAGAGGCAGCTAGCTGACCGTGTGGAGACTGAGGCATCTGGCAAGATGGCACTCTGGGGAGGCGCTGTGTGCCAAGTGCACCAGTTCATACTACCTCCTGCCTGGGCCAAGCAGCAGCAGGGAGAGGGGCAGGCCTGCAGGGAACTGGGCACCCAGAAGGTGCCCTCTGCAGGTGCCCTGGGCACATCGCAGGCTCCAGAGACAACCCTCACACAGGCACGGCCCTCCCAGGGCCCGTCCCTAGCTGAGTCCTCTGGTCAGGCACCACCAGCAGCTTGTCCCAAAGGGCCTGATAAGGAAGAACTTGGGGCTGGATGAGCTCACCAAGGCCAGACAAGACCCAGCAGGCTTCAGAAAGCAAAAGGACCTTCAGGCGCCAAGAATGCAAAAGGTGGGGAAGCAGCAGCACGACCTCACTGCCTCCAGGACTGCGGCTGGTCAGGGACAGGAAACCCCAGGCCAGAGCCCTCTGATGTGACTGTAAAGCTAGCTGGGCACTATGTGGATGTCAGAGCAGCTAAATCCTGGGCCAGGAGAAGCAGAGGAAGGAGGAGGAGGCAGAGCAGCTCAGATGGGGCTGGTATGTCCCAGGTGGTCACAGGCACCTCTGTCTGGGGGCCAGAGAGTAGTTCTTTCCTTGGCATGACTCTGAAGACCGAGTGACCAGACCCTTTCAGTTCAGCAGCATTTGGGAGTTTGAGACCAGAACGGAGGCTGTGGCAGGTTGCGATCTGGACTACACAGCTGACCCACTGAACTCCAGGAAAAAGCCACCTCCCAGCTTTAAGGTGAGGTCAGAAGGCAGGCGACACTGATCACAGCAGCAGGTAAAACACTGGTCAGTTCTTGGCCTGGCCCCTTGGCCTGTGATTCCTCAGGCAGCTCTCCTCAAAGCAAAGTTGATGATGACTTCCCAAGTGCTTTCCACAAAAGGAAATGGGCCTAGACAAGTCGAGTGGGAGAGCCGAGGCAGGGTGGATAGCCTACCGCTAGTCTCTGATCCTCCGCCAAGGATTCCTCCAACTAGTCCAGGCAGCTTCAAAGCTCCCTGACTAGACATAGCACCTTGGTTTCTGCATGAAAAGGGGGCTCTTCTCTGTTTCCCTCAACCAACCTGGCAGCCAAGGCCTGACCCTGAGACCTTGCAGTTGGACAGTTTCCTCTCCTGACACCCTGGAAAGATGAATGGAGTGGCTGGTATGGATGAGACTCAAATTCACTCTAAGAAGCATCTCTTCTCTGCTGCCCTTGCTTTCAGGATCTAACTCTGTCTCTCTGGGCCCAGCTAGGTGAGGGAGAAGTGAAAAGGGCCTTTTCTGCCACTCCTAGATTCCAGCATCACAAGGTCTGGGGTGGGCTCAGAAGAGACTGTTGCAGGGTCAGGGCAGAGCCTCTGCCTCTGTCCCTTCAGCTTGGGACACACCAGACACAAAGGTCTTCAGAAAAAGCATGCATACACAATTTCTCACTGGCATGATGAGAGAGATGATCTCAGTCTTTCAGAGAGCTGGTTTTCCAAGAAAGAGAGGACACAACAGGCCAAGCAAAGTGAGCACAGCGATTCTAGCCCAGGGTCACCCAGGAGGCTTGTGGGTGGGGGGAGTGGAGCAAACTGTCTGGTGCCTGGAGCCAGCAGGCAGAGGAAGTGGCTGGAGCTTCAGACCTCTCTTCAAAAGCAAGACAGACTTGAAGGCCATCGGGCTCTGTCTCAGAGACACATGCTCCCACAAGACATCTCCCTCCTCCTTTGTTCTCTCTAAGCACCAAGGGCTGATGCAGCCAGCCTGCACCCCTGTACCCTTCCTGAGGCCAGGGTACAGGGGTACCAAGGAGCCTCAATGGCCTTTCCCCTCAGAGGTGCCCCCCAGGCACTCGTAATGCTGGTGGCTGAAAGACTGAGAGCAGCACCAAAGGAAGAGGTCTTATTAGGCACCAGCCTGTGCTCTAGCGAAATCCGAGGAGACCATGGGAAGGGCCTACACCATGCACACTCCATCTGGGCTTCAGAAACAGGAGACAAGACCCTGCACCAGGAAGAGAGGACAGTCTTTTCTTAGAAGGGGAAGGGGGTGGGGAAAGCCCCACCCAGCCCTTCATGGAGACTGGCCACCAGTCTAGAGACACAAACACAGCAAAATGTCATAATGATCAGCAGGTTCTGTGCTAAAAAATTATAACTACACGGCGTTTCTCCAGTTCTGACACCTTTTTAATAGAAATCACTGTTTTTAGGAAACAAATAGCACTTTTGTAATTTTTTTTACAATGTTTCTTACCTTGATCTTAATTTAAGTAACACTAGGAAGACCTCAATATCTTTTATTTTCCTTTTTAATTTAAAAAAAAAGTTGTTGTTGTTTTCCCCAGATACAAAGATTTTTGCCCTTGCATAAAAAAACAGTGCCCGAATGATGACACAAGGACTCACACAGACTCACAGGACCTCACCGACACTATGGTTCCTATTCTACCATGCAAGGTCTCGACTACCCTTAATTGGACTGTCAGCCTGAAAAACAGCTTTTCTATTCCTTATTTTAGTTTTTGTTACAAAAAAAGTAAAATAAACAACAAAATAAAACTTTGTTTAAAGGAAAAAAAGAACAAAAATTTAAAAAAAATTAAAAAAAAAGAGGAAAGAAATGTCTCCATTCGATTCTCACACCTGGGTCGAGTGCTGCTTCACTCAGGATCTGCTCTTCTCATAAATATAGAAAAGGGATGGAGCTTGTTTTCAAGTAAAATCACTGATTCACCTTTTTTTCTTTGCTGGACCACACACACACCCTTCTTCCCTGCCTTGGGCAAGGTCAGCATGCCCCTGGCTGGGCTTGCCTTGGTCTCCAGAGGGACTGAGGGGGTCGCCCATGGGATGTGGATGCACCAGAGAGGGAGGAGGGAGTGGGGGTGGGGAGCGAAGGAGCGGGCTGGGAGGGGAGCCAGTGGCTGCTGGGCGTCCATGCGTCTCTCCTTCACTAGCCCCCCAGACAATGTTAAATACTGCTAATCTGATATACTTTCCCACCCCTTGCTCCCTCCCGGCCCCTCCCCCTTCCCTTCTCTGGGCACTGGGTTGATTAAATCTCGATTTCCATTTTTTTGGTTTGATAGTAGTGAAAGTTTAGAAACAGGAAAGCCCACACACTCTTTGGACTTGTCTTCTCTACCTAGACAAACGGCTCGGCAAATAAGGATCTGAAACCTGCTCTCCTCCCTCCGCCCATCCCTGCTCCCCACCCAACAAAACAAAAACAAACCCATCGTGGCTGTGGAGGCTGCTGCAGGCACACACTGGTGTATAATAGAGAGAGTAAATATATTATTTCACTTGGCATGGTGCTGGCAAAGAACCTCCAGCTGGCACTATTTCATGTAACGTGGTCCAATCTTCGCGTGTACACACAGAATAAGAAGGATCAATTGGCAAACTCGGGTGCCACCTGGCACAAGCATCTTCCCTCTCTCTGGAACCAAAGAACCAAAAGAATCCTGTACTTTCCAGAAGAAATCCGGCTTTGCTTTTCTAGAGTCTTCAGTGTTGTTTTTCTCCTTGCCGCCGGGATCCCGTGGCTTCTCGTGAGGGCTCTGTTATTTAGTCTCTTCCCCCTGGCTACAGTTCGCTGTGCAGCTCTGGGAGGAGGGGGAAGGGGCCGGTGTGGAGGTGGTGGCGCTGGCAGGGGGGGTGCAGTCCGGGCCATTGGAGATGGCCCCCACAGCGGCCTCAGAGTCCACAGGTCTGGAGAGGTCGATGCCGTGGATGAGGCGGATCAGCTGTTTTACCTTCTCCAGGGAGCTGTGCATCTCCTTCTGCCGGGCGAGGATGGCGTTCTTCATTTCCATGCATTTCTGCAGCAAATGAGAACAGGGGGCACTGAGCATCTTGCTTTTCTAAGGGGTCTAGAAGCCCCAGAAGGGGGAAGCCTGCCCAATAAAAGAACCCCTGGGACTGTTGTGTAGCCCCTAGAACTTGTTCTGTTCTACCTGGTGTGGGCAGCGGCTGCCTACGGAGAGGTGGGCGAGAGGTGGACAGGCGAGTGGGCTGAATGCCAGCATCCACTCGATAGGAGCCTTAACTAGACTTCACTCCCACCATGACACTATGAAATCAAAGTCATAAAAAAATTTCCCACAGCTGCTGTAAAGCTGGCCTGGGCAGGTGTTGGTGGCCTTTGTCATGCTGAGGGTGGCCTTCAGGACCGGGCTGAGCTCTCTAGGGTAGAAAACAAGACAGTGTTGTGTGGTTCACGTAGAGGGCCTATGGAGCATCGCCTAGTCAGTAAGAGTTTAGAGACACACTGGTGCTGTTTAGGCGCACCCGAGGCCCAAGGACTAGGACCATTAGGACTCCTCCTTGCGTACTTAGGGATTTGTAGTCTTTCTCCCTTTAGTCCTTGGCCTTCCCCAATGCTGGCTTCTGCTGTAGGCAGGGAAAGAGGTATTGAACCTGACGCCACAGGTAGGTACTGTGGTATGAATGGTGTGGAAGAGGGAGTGAGTGAAGGGCCAGCTGAGGTGACCAGCAGGAGTCACATGGAGGGTCAGGTGAGGCTCTACCCTCCTTCCCCTCACTGTCAGAAGCATGCAGGGTGGTGGCGCTACTGTCATAGTTGCTGCTACTTATTCCTTCAGCATGGAGACTGAAAAATCCTCGCAGGTTAAAATTCAAGAGGACGCTCCAGGGCCAGGCTGGGCACCGCAGGCCAGCTGGCCGCCCAGGCCCAGGGCTGAGCTCTAACTGGAAGACCAGCTTCACTTCACACCTGCAGAGTTAATCACGTTAACAAACGGAAGGACCTGAACCAGCCCTTGGGTCCAAGTGTCCTGTCAGGTACACGGAAGGGTCCACACCTGTGCATCTGAGTCACTGCTGGCAGGAGGGGGACTTACACTTATAGAATTGCTGAGTTGTTTCACCTTCTGCTCTAATTGTTCTCGTTCTTGTTTTAAATCTGAACTCCATTTAAGTAATTTCTGTTTCTCTTCTTCTTTAGCTGAGAAAAAAATAAATAGAAACAATGAACACTTTATAATAATGAACTCTTTGAAAAGGCCACTGGGCTCAGAGCTTGCTGAAGAAGATATTTTCCCCAAAGTGCCCCCTAGTCTCACAGCTAGAGCACACTACCTGCCCACCTGGACTTTTCCTTGTTCTACGTCCAGGAGGGCTAAGAAGGTTATCTGTGGCATCATACTTTGCACTTTCCACTTCATTTAATAAAAGGTTTTCATATTTAATTTTACTTGAGAAAACAAACAAAAAGTACTGCCTCCCACCTTCTTTAAAGAAGGTGGGCCTTACCAAACAAGGAGTATGAGTAAACTTTACCTGCTTTGTAGGCAATATAGGAATGGACAATTGCTAAAGTTCCGGGCCACGGAATTGCTTCTTCCTTCTTCAGCATCTGAAAAGAATTTAAGAGTCTTACCTTGAGAAGGAGACAGAAATACACATCCTCCAGGTAAACGCACACAATAGGGTCTGTGGCTACTGGCAGACAAAATCCAGGAAGGATTTACAGAAGCACTGTTGCAAAACCCTGGTCTAGAGTTTCTGGACTATGAAGTTCCGAAGTTAGCTTTGCAGAATGAGGCTTGAAGGTGGCAAGAGCCAACATACATGCGCCTAGGCTTTAGGAGGAGGCTGGCACTTGGCTGAGCATTCTTTTCACATGAGCCAAAATGATCCCACCTCACTCTCAACAGCTGGGACACCAGCATAAAAGCTGTTCATGAGCATGGCAGCCGTCAAGGGGGTTTGTTCTAGATCTGATGTGGGCTGCCTTTTTCAATTTTATACATCCCTCAAAGACATCTTGACTAAGGACATTAAATATTGGTTCCAAGTACTCAAGTATAATCTAGACCCTGTGTAGAAGATTATCAGAGGGTCACAAAGGCAGAGAGGGTGGCTCCTCTATGCTGCAAACAGTGGGACAAGAGCCAAGAGTAAAGCTAGAACCTCCCAAATCAGGGTTTTCAGAAGAACTGAGCAGAATCCTGATGCATTCTGGGCTTGTTTATTATTTATAACTTCCTTACTACCAAAAGACTCAAGATGGCTTATAATAATTTTTTTTTTAATAAAGACATAAAGATGCCTGAGAAAATGAGACCAGGAAGAAAACAAGGGAAGGAAGAGACTAGGTCAGTTACTAGTATGTGTGCCTGTGAAGTCTGCAATAACAAGACAGCACTTTACAGTGAGTTCTCTAAGGCTGATGACAACAGAGTTTAGGATGGAGAACCTCTGAGGAAATGAGGTGTCTCCTGAGCGCTGTGCCATGAAATGGGGAGGAGTAACCAGCAGAAAGAAGAGAACCCTGTTACTAGGATTAGAGGGGAAAGGCATTCCCGACGGCACCGTCCTCTCCCCTTGGCCCTGAACTGTTACCTGGTCCTGACATCTTGGACAGATCCACATGCCCTTGGGAATTGTTTTCAGAGGTGGGTCTAAGCAGTCCAGGTGATACACACGGGAACATGTGTCGCACATCAGCAACTGGCCACTTTTTCTGCAAACACTGCAAAAATCCTCATGGATATCACCCTATGAAATTGAGAGGAAAGGTAAGAAAAAGGACAAAAAAGGTAAATTTTTCATGTTAACATGTACTCTCTGGATGCATATCAATGTCTTAGGACAAGGTGTTGACACAGCACAGCGCCTGCCCCTCCAACACTTTAGTGCTTAAGAAAAGTCGGAACTGCCAATGGTATAAGTCTGCAACCGCTCCACATGGCTGAGGTTCCCTAGGTGGGGACAGTATTCTCAATTTTAGAAATTAGAGTTTACAGGAAGTTCTGTAGTTGGCTAGGCCAAAATTGTAAGTGACAGCTCAGCATTGAGTCCAGGAACCCACAAGTCAGAAATTTTACAGGCACTGAAATCCAATCACCAAAGTGTCTCACAATATGATACAAACAATCTCAATTACCTACCATTTTGGCAAGAAGGATTGGGAAAGAGACAAGAAATTTTTACTGAACTCCTAGATTATTCAGGAGGAGAATATAGTAAAAGTCCAAATGGGAAAAGACTGAGTCATGAGTAAATTAAACTCATCAGCTTCCTAATATGAAGAATTTAAGAAGCGAAAGCAATGATTGACCACATTCTCAATCAATCTCTCTCTCTCTCTCTCTCTCTCTCTCTCTCTCTCTCTCTCTCTCTCTCCCTCCCTCCCTCCCTCCCTCCGGTACTGGAGTGCTTTACCACTGAACTATATACCCAAACCTTTTCATTTTTTATCCTGAGACAGGATTTTGCCAAGTTGCTGAGGCTGGCCTTGAACTTGCAATCTTCCTCCCTTAGCCTCCTGAGTAGCTGCAATTATAGGTGTGCACCACAGTGCCCAGCTTGACCCTGCTCCCTTAAAAGCCAGTATTTTGCATTCGCTATTCAATGGACCATTCTATTGTGGGAGTCTTTATTCCTCCCTATAAAATACTTCACCAGATGGAAAAAGACAAGCAGCCCTAGTCCTCTCTGGCCCTTCATTGTGACAGTTTTAGTACTCAGGAGAGTCTGCTGGAGCAGAAGGCACCATCAGAAAAGCAGCAGATCTATTTAAAATTTGAAGAGGAGAACACGGGGAGAGAAAAAGAGAGTTCTTAAAGAGGTGTTCTTCAGCAAGCCAATGCTCAGCCTGTTCTCTGGACAGGATTAATGCTACTGATAATTGGAATGCCAGGGAATGGAAAACTGAAGGGCCAAGGCAGAGGTTACTCAGCAAGTTAGTACCGCTTTAAGATTTCTTGGCTATTCTGCTAAGGCATAAATACAGAACTTTTGTACAGGAAGCAATGATACAGAGAACAATGCCTAGTCCCTCCTTTTATGATCTAACCTGTCCATCACCACACCATCGAAGGAATGCATCTTCACGGACCTACCATTTAGGACACTTTCTCTGTAATTCACTAGGGTTATCTGGTAGCCCAGGAAAACGTTATAATATATACCATAGTGTAGTCAGATTTTATTCTTTCTTAATAAGAAAAAGGTTACCTCTGGGCAGTAAGAAAGATACTTAGTACCTGTGCAAAAATATTATATGAGGCGTGCAGCCTGAGTTTAAGTGTGACCCTGGGAAGGTCACTGTGGGTCTCCAAGCTGAGCTTGGCCATCACCATGCTGAACATTGTCAGTTGTTGTACCCATTTGAAGACAGCCCTGGCTCTCTCTTGCATTGACATTTAAACACTTTTCCCATTTTACTCTGGGCCCCCACAGAAGCTGCACCCATGGGTTAACCATGATTTTCTTCCTTCATTTCTAATATCAGGCCGAGGGGTGTTTTTCTCCTCTGGAAAGTTCATTTTTCTTGACCTTTGGCCCCAGTTGTAAGTCTGCATCTTTATGAAATCCATAACAAATGTATGCAGAATGAGGTGGTGCACTCTTGTAATCCCAGCGACTAGGGAGGCTGAGACAGGAGAATTCCAAGTTTGGGGTCACTTCAGGCAATTTATTGGGACCCTGTCTTAAAATAAATTTAAAAAGGGTTAGGGATGTAGCTCAGTGTTAGTGTGCTTGCCTAGCATGTGTGAGGCTCTGGAGAGAGTCACTCAAAAGTTTTTAAAAAGACTGCTTTACATGAACCATAGATAAAATTATCAGTGGTGAAGTGAGATAAACTGGACATCCTACTCAGGGGGACTTGTTAGGGAAATGGAGTTCTGCCCACTCTTCTTTGCTCCTGAGTAAGGAGAATACCACAAAGTAGAAGGCAGAGAGTACAGAAAATAAAAGTTTCTTTCAAGCTTCTAAAGAAAGATAATTTCCTATCTTATTTACATATCCTAAAGCAGTAGTTCTTTATATTTTTGGTGTCAGGATTCCTTTATACTCTAAAATCACTGAGAACCCCAGAGAGCTTTAGGTTATGTGAATTATATTTACTGATATTATTGTACTAGAAGCTTTAAAATGTTTAACTTTGAAATAATTTCAGAATCACAGAAAGTTAGAAAAACAATATATTGAAAAATTCAAAAGCTCAAGAATTCACAAGTATGTACTCTATTGGCTGTTACATCATATATTGTACAGTATCTGTAAAACTTCACTGTGCAGGACTGAGAAAATAAGAGAAGAAATGGCAAGTGTTGTTTCAGTAGCATAAAGAAAATAAGTTTTTGGTTTCATAAGCCCCTGAAAGAGGGACCCTAGACAACACTTTGAGAACTGCTATCCAGTATAAATTAATGTAAATGCCAAGGCACTAAAACAACACAGAGTAAGTTCTTCGCCTGAAGAGAGTGGTGAAGTCCCAGGAAGGCACTGTCCTGGGGTCAAAAGGCTCAGCTTTGGTGACTGATCAAATTTACCATAACCAAAAAGCAGGCTGAAAGATAACTGACTCACGATTCTTTGCTGGGAACTGAGGACATGTTTTCAGGAAACATGCTGTCTCTATCAACTTCATTGAGTGCTAAAAAATTTTATAATTATGTCAACATATCTTCCTTCTCATAAAATGATGATAGCAGCAACAAGGTACATCCTGAGGATTAGTGTCTGGCTGGGTCTTGTATTACTAAGTCCTTCTAGATGGTTATTGATCCCCAGGAAATGCTTGCCTCTCAACCGTTATTGTTTAATTAATGTTGTTGAGGCTCACGCTACCCAGCAGCAAACACACAGAACCCTGTGTGTTGATTTTGATCACTGCTGCTGTGGGGATACTGTAAAAGCAGAAGTCAATTATCTTTTTTATTTTTTTTTTAATCTATTCCACTGGGTTTAACTTAGGAAGTAGTGAACATATTTAGTGGTTTTAGAAAAGCTTTATTTTACTTTTAGATTTCTGAAAAGAACAATGTTTGCATTTTAAGATGAAACCTGGCAGAAGGTTTTTAGTTTGTGATTTGACCTAAGTGTATCCTTTGGGTCTAGTCTCTCAAAGAAAACCATGAATGCTCTCAACCAAACAACCCAATCTAGCATTTGTGCACCAACCCAGAGGGAAGGCTACACCAAGAAGCCAACGAGCTGGTGGTCCCTTTGGCAGTACTTTGAGGAAGAGCTGGGATAAACTTTGGTGCCAGAAAATGCGGTTTCTGGCAGGGACTCTTGGTACTCATTAATAGGACGGTTAGAAAATCTGTATCAATTACTAATGCCGATAGTGCTGCATGAAATGCTCAGCCTTATGCAGGGAAGGGAATGTGTCAGAAAACAGAACTCCCTAAGTCCCCAGTTCTCCAAGGACAACACTTAGTTTGTCAATCCTGGAATTTTAACTCAGAATGTTTCACATACTACTCTCTTGGAGAGGGGTGTGCCATTAGTAAGTTCTGAAACCTTCATGTCCAAAGAACATGTTGAACGTGGTCAACAACAGTCTGTAATTTACAAAAGTACTGTACACATACAAAATTAAATTCTTGGCTTTTCTCCTTAAACCTGTTCCTCTCATCATCTTCAGTAAATGGTAGCTCCAGCCTTCTAGTTGGATGCATCTTGACTATTCCGTTTTGCTCACACCCCACATTCAATCCTGCTGGCTCTTCAGCACCTCTGCAGACTTGGTCACCTTTCTCCATCTCTACATACACCATGCTACCAGGCCAAGCCACCACCATCATCTCTCTCCTAGAGGACTGCAAGGGCCACCTAACTGGTCTTCCTATTCCAACTCATTCTCCCCAGAGTCCCTTCTCCTTATCTTAAGACATAACACTCCTTCTAACAATCAAAGCTAATTTTACAAATACCTTAAAAAACAGTAAATGTAGGCAAGAACCATCAAAGGATGCTAAAGTCATTGGGAACAGTTTGTTGGTTACCTGGATGTTTACTATTTATATAGACTCAAGGCTATTTCCACCAGAAGGAAAGGGACATTTACAAGTAAAAAATTTAATAAAACTATCTCAGGCGAGGAAAGTTAACATCACCAATAACAGGACAGGTTGACAATATGTGCCTCCATTGTGATGCACTGAGAAGGACCCATCATCACTTAGTCTTCCTGAAAAAATGTATACCTTCAATCTATAAAGGGATTAGATTATCCAAATGGAGAAACACTCTACATAGCAACTGGCGTATCTTTCAAAAAATTCTGATGTTAATGAAAGACAAAGAAAGACTAAAAACCTGTCAGAATCAAGGAGACTGAGGAGATAATACCCTTTCTATAAATGAAAGGAATAATGTTGGATTGGACCTGGAGCAAAAAAAAAAAGGTATGAAGGCAATTATTGGGACATTTAGAGAAATCTGAATACGAAATATATATGTACACTAAAGTTTTCATCGATGTTAAATTCCTTTAATTTAATAAATACATCATGGCCACGTAACAGACCACCTTTGTTCTTAGGAGATATTCACTGAAATATATCTTTTGAGGTGAAGACAGTCTGTCACTTCTAGACCAGCTCAGCAAAAACAGTATGAGAGAGAGAGAGAGAGAGAGAGAGAGAGAGAGAGAGAGAGAGAGAGAAACAAATGTGGCAAAATGTTAACAATCGGTGGTGAATCTATGTGAATGGTATATATTTTGCTCCTTGTACCATTATTGCAGATTTTCTGTAGATATAAGATTTTTCAAAATCAAAACACATATATGGGCTGGGGCTAGGGCTCAGTGGTAGAGCACTTCCCTACCATGTGTGAGACACTGGGTTTGATTCTCAGCACCACATATAAATAAAATAATAATAATAATAAAGGTCCATCAACAACCAAAAATATTTAAAAAATATATATAGTAATTGAAAAATTACATCGTGCCTCTACTTAAGCCCCTCCAATGGGCTCCCATCTTACTTAGATAACGGGTCTCACTGCCCGCTGCTCTGGCTCTCTTGCTCTGCTCCTAATGTCCTTCATGGTAGTCTTTCAATATGCCACTCACAGACCTCCTCAGGGATTTTGCACTGTTGCTTGCTGGGCATGGAATGGCCTTCCCCAGTTCTCCCATGGATCCCTTCTTCACATCCTGTCAGAGAGGCTTTGCTCACTACTCTTTGTAAGACAGTAACTTCCTGCCATTACGCCAATACCTCCATCTGTTCCATTTTTCCTGGCACACCTATTTCTACCTGACAGATCATGTATTTGTCTTCTTGCCATCTACTTCTTTCCTTGGCACATGAACTCCTTGACGAGGTAGATGGGTTTGCTCCTTACTGTGTCCCCAGCCTCAAGAACAGTGTTTGCTGGACAGTTAAGTATCTGTTGAGTGAATTCACTGCTTTATAAATGCTCATTTAAAACGTCAGAATGCTAGTTCATGCTCCAGAAGTTCTTGGTAAAGAGCCACTAAGTGTCCGACACTTTTTCAGGAATCTGTTTCTGGATAACTCTCCACTTGTGGAATTGTGCTCAAAGCAGGAAACAAGGGCTGCTAGGGGGACATGTTTTATTCATGTTCCCTACCCTGAACACACTGATAGAAACCTGTCTAGTTCTTAACTAGATGAACTGATTCTTCCACCCTGCCCTTTTCTGAGCAGATCAAATCCAGACTCTGAAAACCCTGAGTCCCCGCATGCTATGTTAACCTGAATCTCAAGGACACGGAAAGCCTGGGACCCCAGAAGCAAGGTGCCTGATATGACATGCAGGGTATCCTGCAGGGTGTTCTGCTGTTCCAGGGGTAGTCAAGAAGCTGCAAGTGGCAAGGAGACAACACAGGACAATGGTTTTCCCATGTGAGCTCTCAAAAAGAGAGTGCGATTCCCCAAGTTACTTACGTCTGTGGAGGTGGGGCTGGGCAGGGACACAGGCTGCACAGGTGCAGGGAAAGTGAATGTGGTCTCTGTCTTTTCACTTTCAGGGGAGTCGGGATGACTGGATGGGGGGGATGTTGGGGTAAGGGCTCCAAACCCCAGCACTGCATTGTATTTTGGAGGACGACCTATATACCAAGAGAAGGGAACAAAAGGGGAAACGGGGAGGGAAAGAGAAGGGGAAAATGATCTTACATACCTTTGGCCAGTGTTCCTCATTGGCTAGCATGGAAAAGGAAGTGAGGTAGCGACAGAAGGTTAATACAACAGTCCCAAAGGAAGGAAGAGAAGCAAAGACTTAAACGTCATTAGAAACAACTACAAGAACCCCAAAGGGAAGGAAAAGAGGGCCTGGGAGAGTAACAGGAGGTGCTGGCTTATGGAAGAAGACCTCATCCTGGGCAGAATATGGTGACATTCCTAGACTCACTGTTTGAGATCTCTAGTGCAGAAACCAAGATGTCCAATGGGAGCCAAGGCACGGAATGGGGTTTTATTTTGCATGCTTTTTGCATATTGTTCTTTAAGGTTTCTCTGCAATTATCGTTCTTACAATAATAGTAATGGTTCTAAAGTTCCCACAAACAGACTTATTTAGCATTTTTACTTTTCTATTTCTTTCCTGTCTACATTTTGGTTGTTTTACTGCTGGTGAAGGTGGAGAAGGAAAGACAAAGCAAGGAGACAAAATTCGAAAATAGTTGTATTTTCACCCCTTGCTGTTAGAACTATTCAGAGAGAGGTTCTGGGAGCATCTGGAACCTACAAGTAACAAGAGGCTTTGGGCTTAATGGTGAATTTAGGCATTCATGGATCTCTCCCCAACAGATTGAGACTATCTCCTTGGTTATGTCACAAACATTCTGGTGATCTACACATCTAAGAAATGGGGCTGTTCTAAAGTCCCATAAAAGACCATCACCAGCACTCTTAAAGAACTGATTTGAGGCAGAGCACTTTGAATTAAACCTTATACTACAAGGCATCTATGAAGGAGCACTAGGGGTGCAGGAAGTCTACTGAAGCCACTCTCATCTTACCACATATCAAAGTCAGGGCCCTTGGTCTTCTAAGAGCCAGGACCATAGCTTCTAAGCTGTGAGTGATCATAAGCCCAGCACACCAAAGAGGGAAAAACCCAAAAAACAAAAACCAGCCAGAGAGGCCCAGAACTGCTTATCAGCACTGGTGAACAGCGCATGTGGAATCATGACTTTACCCCCAGTTACAGATTATACTAGCATTGTGCAAAGAGTCACGATTCTGTCAGACATTATACCAATATTCCCTGTGCTAAACTGGCAATGTCCACAGTTCAGACACAGATCTGCCAGTCTGTCTTTTCTAGGGTACTTAGGAGAGGAAGTGAAGACGCATGCTCTTTGTTTACCCATGGAAGGCACATCCTATGTATTGTGAATATAGGCTTTTATCCTCTGACCTTGGCAAGAGGTGCCAAGGTCTTTCTGGCTCATTTAATTCCTATACTCTAAGCAGATACTGCCCACCAGCAGACCAATTAACTGTGACCTCTGGCAGGGGAGGGGAGTTCTTTCTGAGAACTGTGTCAGAGGTCACTAAAAAAATAGTTGAACACAAAACAACAAAAAATAACTTACTAGCATTGGTTACTGTGGCCAGGAATCAATCTAAAGTGCAGTGACTTAGGATTTCCCACCTAAATATTTTAGTAACTTGAAGGACAGGACTGATAAAATATTGGAATGGGTCACTAAGGGTCAGTATCTCTCTTCTGGAGGAGGAGGAAGTAACGCTATAGTTGTAGTCCTTCTTAAGGCAGAAAAAGGGTCGAGATGACCTCCTCAGCTTCCTAGAGCTGTGTGTCAGTGTGTACACACGCAAAAATTAGTATGCTAGGCCACTCTCTCTGCAACCTTTCTAGCCTGGAACTATAATTCAGGGGTACATTACCATGTGGAGAAAGGGACCTTGGGATGTATTACTGACATCAAAGAACAATTTCAGTACCTTGTTTATGAGCTCAGACGTGAGCTATTAAGACCTATTTAGACCTGCACAGTAAGAGCTATTGCCGCTGCTATTTTTCTGCCCTATGACTAAGGTAGAACGCTCATGGGGGTCTGAAAGGTGGGAACAGAGCTCCTCAGGAGTTTCTGCTTTAGGGAGTCTGTTTTGATAGTGGCTTTTTCTTCTTTAAGTGGAGATACCTCTTTTTAAAGATTCTATGTTCTCTCCTTCCTGGAAAGTCTGTAGTTCACGTTCTAGCCTTACTGGAAGCAGGGTGACTGAGACACTCACTATGAAGAACACCTTGGCAACAGTAGGGCTCTGCTCTTCTTAATGATGCTCAACGCTCCCTTTCACATGGTGTTCTGTTCACTGCTATTCCTGGGCAGCCTGTAGGCTTGGGGCAGAAATGCTGCATTAAGCCATTCACCTGAGTCAGCTTTGCCAGACCCAGAAAAGTCAGCTTTTGATTCCGCACATACAATTCTGAAAAGAAATCTCATTCTCTGTTCCTCCTGTTCTCAGAGAACCACAACAAACTATTTTCAAGGGACAGAGGGGTCAGGTTCTAGGAGGGAGAAGGGAGGGAAAAGAAACACAACACAGAAAGCAAAAGCAACAGCAAGGTGGAGACTGAAAAATGCACTCACCTCTCTTCCGGGTCCCAGGATGCATTGTGCTGTTTAGGTATGTGACTGCACTCTTCTTACGCTTTGGGAATTGAAGAAGGAAAGGTGACTGGCTGAGCAGCCTGGTTATTACTGAAGACATGCATACATGCCTGTCACACGCTAACTAGTTAGCACCAATCATCCCCAAAATCTCAGTGTAATGGGTTTTATTATGAGAACTTGGTCCTCAGAAAATATGCCAGAGTTCGGCTTGTTTCAGATGATAGTTGTGGTAAAGAAAGGACAAATTAAAATTTTCAGGCAGGTTTGTATTTGCTCAAAATTAGGTGGGGGGGAACCCCTAAGGGGTAAGCAGTGAATAATAAAAATGAAATAATGTGATGAGCCAGAGTAAAACCATCATTTCACTGAGCTGGCCAAGTACAAGGTGCTGCTTGCTCTTAAGCAGGTTTTCAGATGGGAGGTGCTGAACAAGTCCCAGATAAAACTGGAACTTTAAGGAAAAGGCCAAAGCAGGGCAGGAGTACCTCTGGTTCAAAGACTGCTCCACTGTATACTGGATTTGCTGTTGTTCTTCTTTTTCGCTCTTGCCTCTTGCTTTGGATTTCTTGGGAAAAGAAAAGGCTTGGATTAGAAGACAGGTATGGGAAATCTAAAAAACTGAACTTGGTTGTTTATCTATTGGTTTTTCCTGTAACAAATCAAGAATGGGGCGAGTCTCCATTTCACTAGAGCCCCCACAGAGGCAAGCCCACTATTAGAAGCAAACATGTAGGATCACCTGCTCTCCTCTCTCAGAAAGCAAGACTGCACTGTCCCACAGCATGGCTCTGGGACTGGGAGCACACAGTATACCACACTTAACAAATAAACTGTCCTGATTTATTTTTAGACTGCTGTGCACATAGGTCTGGATGAGCTTTTTCCATAAACTTATACTGAGAAACCAAAATTCACCATTCTTTAATCAATCATTCTTGAATCAAATAACCAAGACAGGCATAGCTTTGTAAGGCTTTAAGATTCTGATAACACAAAGTAATTGGAAAATACAGACAAGGACTTGTTAGAAGAACACTTGCTACTTTACTGTCAAAATGAAAGTGCATCCCCCACACTGATCAGAAGTCACCTAATTTAGGCAGCTTGGGGAGGTTTCCCAGGACCACAGTGTGGATGACGCTAGGAAGGGGAGGCCCTAAACATTAGATGGAGGGGAGGCAATGTTTTCTCTAAAGGAAATGAAGTCCATATGGTTGAATCATACTCTACTTGTGTTCTAATTTTCTATCCTAGGAATTCAAACACCACTTTCAGGGACAAAGCTGTGGGCCAGAAAGAAGGCAGTGCCAAGAATATCTTTTCTCTTACCTTCTAGATGGTCATGTGTTACCAACCCTAGAGACACCATGAAGGCAAGTTTCTGTGCCAGAGAAACAAAAGAAGAATATACTTCAGTCTGGGTTCTCACAAAGCCAACTGCTGGTTCCTAGTTAGACACCAGGGAAAGCCCAGTGGGCTGGTTGCTTGATGGAGGCTGGGTTCAGAGGAACCAAGAGCAAACATCTGCCACTCCGGGAAGCACTGGAGCCACTCTAGAGGCATTCTGGTCTAACAGGCCAAAAAGGAAGGAGAGGGGTCTACATCTTCCACTTGCTCAGTGTCACAAATCTGCATCTTGAGTAATCCAAGTTTTTGTCAGAAAAATATTCTTAAAAGGAAGAGAATTTTATATTCAAAAACACACAAAGAATTTGAAGAGTATTCCATGAAACAGGCTCCAAATTTCAAGTACTTCACTTGTCAGGATTAGTTGGGGTTTTTAACATTTTTTACTGCCACTAATTAGACAATGCTACCACAAAGCTAAAATGATTTTCAAGAATTACAGCAGTTTCTGCTTTATACTGTTATTTATTTATTCATTTACTTATTTTGATGTCCCGGTACTCTGGGACTAAACCCAGGGGCACTTAACCACTAAGCCACATCTCCAGCCCTTTTTAAAATATATTTTATTTTGAGACAGGGTTGCCAAGTTGCTTAGGCCTACTAAGTTGCTGAGACTGGCGCTGAACTCATGATCTTCCTGTCTCAGCCTCCTGAGCTGCTGGAATCACAGGCATGTGCCACCTGGCTGATACTAAAATTTTTAAATCAAACATAGATCTAAAAATCATGGAGCAATTTCTCTCTGAAGACCACTATATTAGGGCTCCAACAGAAACAAGGATGATTAGACTACTAATCTGACTGCAGGTTCCTAGTTAGACACGAGGGAAAGGCCAGTGGGCTGGTTGCTTGACGGAGGCTGGGTTCAGAGGAATCAGGAGCCACAAAAACGGAATGTTAAGACACTTCAAGCTATAGAAAGCAACAGATTTATTTAAAAAAATGTAGTTATAGATAAACAGTATACCTTTATTTTATTTGTTTTTTTAAATATCTTTATTTTATTTATTTATTTTTATGTGGTGCTGATAATCAAACCCAGGGCCTCACACATGCTAGGTGAGTGTTCTATCACTGAGCCACAGCCACAGCCCCTTATTTATTTATTTTTATATGGTGCTAAGGATTAAACCCAGGGCCTCAATGTGTTAGGCAAGTGCTCTGCCACTGAGATACAGCTCCAGCTCTAATAGATTGATTTTTATTCTTCTCTTTGGTTGTTTGTGGTCTGAAAAGTATGACTTTAAAAACCACTACATGTGTTTTCTGAATATATCAAATAATACATCATCAATTTTTTTCTCTGATGAAAAAAGAACATCATTAATTGTTAGCAGACAAGCTCCTATAGAGTTTTTTTTTTTTTAAGTTGCAGATGGACACAATGCCTTTATTTATTTATTTTAATGTGATATTGAGGACCGAACTCAGTGCCTTACACATGCTAGGCAAGTGCTCTACCACTGAGTCACAACCTCAGCCCCTCCTATAGAATTATTAATACGATGGTTTGGTCTTTAAATATCTTGACCTCTTTTTCTCAGCTTTAAATATTATGATACTTTGTCTGAAGTGAGAGGTTCAAACTATTCAAGATGCATTCCTTGAGAACAGAGGAATGTGTTTACAGGTATCTTTAGAGTCCTGAAAAAAATGTTCTAATTTTACTTCCCACTTCAAAATCTTTGGTGGACACCTATTCCCTCCACAGCTGGAAAGGAGCAGTAGTCCTAAACTCACAGCCCATTTCCTATGCTGCACATTGAAATGGCATTCATTTTGTGGTTGCCAATAACCACATTCCTAATTTCTACTATTTCTTTAAAATAAAATCAAGATTAGAGGGCTGTCAGTTGAGGCCAGGTATGGTGGTGCACACCTGTAATCCCAGCAGCTTGGGAGACTGAGGCAGGAGGACTTCAGTTTCGAAGCCAGCCTCAGCTACTTAGTGAGGCCCTAAGCAACTTTGAGACCCTGTCTCAAAATAAAAAATAAAAAGGGCTGGGGGATGAGGCTCAATGGCAAAGCAGCCTGGGTTCAATCCCTGGCACACACACACACACACACACACACAAAAAGGCTGTCTCAGTTGGGTGGTAATACACAATCTGTAATCCCTGCTACTTAGGAGACTGAGGCAGGAGGATCACGAGTTTGAGGCCAGCCATGCCAACTTAATGAGATCCTGTCTCAAAAAATAATAAGAGATGGGGATGTAGCCAGGTGATAGGGCAGTTGCCTACCATATACGAGGCCCTGGCTTTGATCCCCTGTATCACATAAAAACAAAAAAGATTAGAAGGCTGTCCACCAACATTCTTTGCTAATAAACCAGTGTTTTCATTGACATTCAGATGCATCTTTTTAATCTTGGGCTACTCACATCCAGCTCCTCTTTGCCAGTCTAGGTCAAGTTCACAAAATAATTATTAAATGAAAACAATCTCCTGTCTTGTGGAATAGTGTTTCAGTGATAGAACAAAAAGATTTCAAGAACTTTTGCCAAATACACACCCACACATGTAACCACATACCCACATACATATTATATAGTATGTATATCAAGAGCTCATCTACTTTCTTTATGGCAGTGATTCTGTCCAACTAAGTGAAATATCTGCTACTATACAGATGGCATCTGATTGCTCACACTATGTGCCACTGACCTGAGATATTCTTTAGTTTTTTTTTGGTAAGGAAATTCTGCCAACAGTTTATTTTTCCTCCACCAAGCACAAAAACCTGTCATTAATTTTTTTTTCTTCCTGTGGTGCTGGGGATTGAACCCAGGGCCTTACTCATGCGAGGCAAACACTGTACCAACTGAGCGATATCCATAGCCCCTTGTCACTAATTTTGTGGATGATTTTATAAATTTCTCAGCAATTTGTGTAACTAGTACTTTTCTGTGGCTTAAATTTTGGTCCTCTCTTTCTTTCTTTTTCCTTTTCAGTATTGGGGATCAAACCTAGGACTTCATGCAAACTAGGCAATTACTCTATCACTGAGCTACACCCAACCTTGTTCCTTTCTTCAAAGATGAAATTAAAAATTCATTCATATCATATCATAAAGAATTACATTTGGTGCTTATTTTAGAAAAACCTGGGCTAGTTCAATAAATCATTGATATATGTGTGTGTGTGTGTGAGAGAGAGAGAGAGAGAGAGACATGAAGTTTTGATGGCTTCATGCCACTATTTGACATAGTTACATTATGAAAAATGCATGGAGGATAAGAGGGAGATGTATTACAAGTCTAATAAAATCTAACAGAGATTCATCATATTACCTGTCTGCATTTTTCTTTTATAGTTGATTATACAAAAGCATTAAAGTAAGATATTCTCTTGTCTGAGGACACACAAATTCACATTCTGTATTTGTATCAGGGTCTTATTTGCTATTTATATTTGTAATTCTCTCCTAAGTTTATATAGATGTTTCATCTTTTCTTTTATGCTTCAATGACCTATTTTTACACTACCAATTCATTTAGGATTTGGGGTTTTAATGCAATAAAAAGTAATACAAAACGCACATTTAACAACTGTAATCGATAATGTAAACAGACATAAGCTGAGTGAACTGGACATTTATAAATGCCTGAGACAAACAGAATACAATAATAATTTGGAATATAACAGTACAGCTGTAACGTGTATTTGAATATCACCATTTCAAAACTTTTCCTTTGAAATAGCAAAATACTTAAGTGCCAGTGCATAGATCCTTAGGGCCATACTCAAATATGCCCCAAATGTTATTTAATTCTTTCTGATACAATATGAATGAATGTTTATGCCCTAAATGTGGGTGCAACTAAATACAAAAAAAGAGACTACTCAAATTAAAGCCTCAGATAGACACAGCACAATAATATTGGATAATTTCAACACATTTCCCTCACCAACCAGACTCGGAAATAATATTGTTGGATAAAAGAAAATATAAGAGAAAGATCGCTGAGTGATTCAGAAAGCAGGTATCCCTCCCGCCTCATGTGGGAATGAACTACACATCAGAGGCTGAGCCACACTTCAGAAAGATGGACCTACCTGAGGGTTCTCTTCCCGTTTTGGTTTGGGTGCAGCAGGTGGGGTGATGGTACGGCTCTCTGTTTGTTTTTCATCTGTTTCTGTGTGGGATTTAACTGTCTAGGAGAGAAAAATTCAATGTAAATTCAGAATTCATTTTTTTTAAATTAAAAGAATGAAATAAAAATAGTAATTTAACTGTTAAAGGCAGCTGAAGAAAAGAACATGCTCAAATCTAGAACATATTAGTAGAGGAGTTCACAGCATAGATTTCACTGGGGGTAAAATGTAAAGACCCAGCTGAAGATTAATCAGACTGTACAACTAGAATAAATAAGAATCTATAAATAAAGTAATTTAAATTATACAAAAAGAAATATCCAAAGTAAAATTCCCATGTATGAAATGAAGTGCTGCTCTGATGTCAATGTACTATAGGATGTGGAGGTAGCTTCCCAGAAGCAAGTCCACTGTCATTATATATGGGTCAAGCTCTAGACCACAGCATGCTCAAGAGCTGAGGGTCAGAAACAATCTTCATAAATGCTCTTCTTCAGAATAATTCCAATCATAATCTGAGAGATTGAAGAACTACCTTTACTTGGGATATTTAAAACCTGCCTATATTATCCATTAGGGGAGAGAGGAAATTGCTAAAGGGCCACCTTGCAAGGGCTGAAGTCCAGAATACTCCCAACTCCCTCTAGAGACATCCACTTAAACATCAGAAACACCAGTTGCATGACTATCTTTAAACACAAATGGTAGTAACCTACTGGCAGACTGAGACTGTATTACTATTCTTCTCACAACCTAATGGATAATTAATTTTATGAGTTCTGTAAATACTCAAATTATTTTAGAATAGTAGATATAAAACTGTAAATAAAAACCTAATTTAGTTTTTCAAAATTGAAAAAAACTGCACAAAATGGTCTTTTTGTATGTAACTACGAGTAATTAAATTAGGATCAAATTATCTCATTATTGATTGGCAGGAGTCAAAGACTTCAATCCTACAAAAACAACATCAAAAGTTTTCAAATATCATAATAAACATCTTTCTATAATAACACTGAGTGCAAATGGTGTCAACTCTCCAATTAAAAGACAGACTGGCAGAACAGATTTAAAAACAAGACCCATCTTGCTAGAGATTCATCTTACAGGCAAAGACAGCTACAGGCTGAAAGTGAAAGGGTGGAAATTGATATACCATGTGAATGGAGCCTGAAAACAAGCAGGAGTAGCTGCTCTCATATCTGACGAAGCAGACTTCAAAGCAAAATTAATCAGAAGAGACAAAATCATTTCACACTGATAAAGGGAATAATCCAACAAGAAAATATGATGATAATAAATATTTATGCCTCATAATTAAGAGATACTACTTGAATTAAAGCCTCAGAGACGTCCCATTATAATAAAACTGGATGATTTCTCCCTCACCATTGGTGAGGTCATCCAGACATAAACTCAGGAAGACTCTTTGGACCTGAAAAATATAAATCAAATGGATTTAAGAGACATCTACAAAATATTTCATCCAACAAAGCTGAATACACATTCTTCTCAGCTACACATGGAGTCTTTTCCAAAATGGGCCACATTTTAGGCCACACACACACACACACAAAAAAAAAAAAAAAAAAAAAAAAAAAACTCTTAGCAAATACAAAACAACAACCACCATGAAAACCCTGATACAATTCCTTGCATCTTATCAAATCATAATGGAATGAAACTAAAAATCAGTACCAAAAAGCCCCACAGAACTATAAAAACACATGGAGATTAAATAATACACTTTTAAATGATGAACAGATGGATGGAAGAAATTAGGGGAGGAATTTAAAAGTTCTTAAGACCCAAAGGAGAATAATGATACAACATATGGAAACCTATGGAACACTACAAAGGCAGTTATAAGAAGAAAGTTTATAGCTATGAGTGTCTACATAAGAAAACCAAAAAGATTCCAAATAATCAACCTAATGATACATAATAAACATAAACAAATGAATTCCAAAACTAGTAGAAGGAAGGATATAATTAAAATCAGAGTCAAATCAATGAAATTGAGAATACAAAAAGAATACAAGGGGGCTGGGGGTATAGCTCAGTTGACAGAGTGCTTGCCTAGCATGCTCAAGGCTCTGGGTTCAATCCCCAGCACCACCAGGGGGAAAAAAGTACAAAGGATCAGTGAAATGAAGAGTTGGGTTTTTTGAAAACATAAAACAAGATGAAGGGCTGGGGTTGTGGCTCAGATGTAGAGTGCTCGCCTAGCACATGTGAGGCCCTGTGTTTGATCCTCAGCACCACAGAAAAATAAATAAATAAAAGTATTGACAACTACAACTAAAAAATAAATATAAAAACAAAAACAAGACCATAAGCCCTTAGCGAAACCAATCAAAAGAAAAATAGAGAAGACTCAAATTAATAAAATATAGATAAAAGAAATTACCACAAACATCACAGGAATCAAGTGAGTAGATCATTAGGAATTATTTTGAGCACTTACACTCCCATAAATTGGAAAACCTAGAAGAAATACGTACATTTCTAGATACATCTGACCTGCCAAAATTGAATCAAGAGAACACAGAAGACCTAAACAGCCCAATAACTAGTAATGAGAAAGAAGCAGTAATAAAAACAAAACAACGAAGTACACGACTAGAAGGATTCTCAGCTGAATTCTACCAGACCTTTAAAAAAGAATTAATGCCAATGCTCCTCAAATTATTCCGTGAAATATAGAGGAACGAACACTTTCAAATTCATTCTTGTGAAGCCAGTATCACACTCGTACCCAAACCAGATAATGACACATCAAGGAAAGACCAATACCCCTGATGCAAATATCCTTACTAAAATATTAACAAACTGAATTCAACAAAATATTAAAAAGATTGTACATCATTACCAAGTTATTTTTATCCTAGAGATGCAAGAATGGTTTAACATATGCAAATCAATAAATGTAAATTTATCATAAATAGAATCAAAGACAAAAACCACTTAGTCATCTCAATAAATGCAGAGAAAGCCTTTGACAAAATTCAATACCCATTTATTTATTTATTTATTAAAATTTTAATATTTATTTATTCTTTTTTAGTTTTCGGCAGACACAACATCTTTGTTTGTATGTGATGCTAAGGATCGAACCCGGGCCGCATGCATGCCAGGCGAGCGCACTACCGCTTGAGCCACATCCCCAGCCCCAACAATACCCATTTATGATAAAAAAAAAACACTGAAGAAACTAGTGATAGAAGAACCCTACCTCAACATCATAAAGGTGTAAAAGAAAAACCCAAAGCCCAAAGCCAACCTCATAGTAAATGGGGACAAACTGAAAACATTTCCTTTAAAATCTGCAACAAGACAGGATGTCCACTCTCACCACTTTTATTTAATACAGTGCTAGAAATTCTAGCCAGAACAATTAGGCAAAAAAAGAAAATAAAAGGGATAAAAATAGAAAAGGAAGAAGTCAAATTAAAACTATGGATGATATGCCTCTATACTTAGAAGATCCAAAAAGCTAATAAATTCAGTCAAGTAGCAGGTTACAAAATCAACACATAAAAATCAATAGCTCTCTTATATACTGCTGGGCTGAAGTAGTGGCTCGTGGTAGAGCACTTGTCTAGCATGTGTAAGGCACTGAGTTTGATTCTCAGCATCACATATAAATAAATAAATAAATAAACAAATAAATAAAGGTCCATTGACAACTATAAATCAGGAAAGCAATCCCATGATTCTCAGCACTACATATAAATAAATAAATATCCATTGACAACTAGAAATCAGGAAAGCAATCCCATTCACAAATAGCCACAAAAGCAAAACAAAAAACATAAGAATAAATCTACTCAAGGAGTTAAAGAACCTCTACAGTGAAAACTATAGAACACTAAAGGAAGAAATTTAAAAAGACACAAGATGGGACGACCTCCCATGTTCGTGGATTAGCAGAATTAATATTGTTAGAATGGCCATAGTACCAGAAGCAATACAGATTCAGTGCAATCCCTATCACAATACCAACAACATTCTTCACAGAACTAGAAAAAACAGACCTAAAATTCATTTGGAAGAATAAAAGATCCCAAATAGCCAAAGCAATTATAATTTTTGGCTTAGAAGCCAAAAAAGCATTGCCGGAAGCACCATTAATACCTAATTTCAAATTATACTGCTGAGCTATAGTAACAAAAACTGCATGTACTGGCATAAAAACAGACACACATAGATCAATGGTAGAGAATAGAAGGCACAGAGACAAACCCACACACCTAGTCATCTGATACTTGACAAAGATGCCAAAAACATACACTGGAGAAGATGGCCTTTTTAATAGATGATATAATGCACCAATAAAAAATGTGGGGAAAAAAGATTCTTACAAATCATAATGCTGTGAAATATTTTACTAGATCTGAAAAACTAGCATAATCACAAAAATCTTTCACTTTCTTTCTTGGCCACTTCCATATTTTCTTTCTGCTTTCCATATTATAGTACATCAGGAAAGTGTAAGCAATCAATACTGCAGCAAGTGCTCCTGTGGGGCATAAATGCCGCCGTGTGTGTGTGTGTGTGTGTGTGTGTGTGTGTGTGGTCAGAGTCCTGCCGTACGTCTCCCTTTGTACCATAAGCTACTTGAGTGGGGGCTATTCTGTACACCCCTTGTTTTGCACCCTTTGTGCTTAGTGTAGTACTTCACTCATTGCAGGAATACAAAAAGAGTTGATTGTTCTTCTGAGTCAAGAATGTAACCTACCAGGAGCATCATTCAAGTCTTTTCCTTCTCTCTCTCTCTCCCCCACCTCTGAGTTTAACCAAAAAGGACACCTTTCCTCCATAAAATAAACCTCCTAAGGGAAAGTAGTTTATAATGACATTTTAAGGTCTAAGTTTATTTTCATGGTTCTTTGAATGTGGAAGGACAAAAGTATGAGGGAGGAGAGAGAAAAGGTTCATTGTAAAGGTTCACTGCTCCATCCCAAGGCTGTGTTAAGTAGCTTCCCGGTGGGCTGAGGATGTGGCTCAAGCGGTAGCGCGCTCGCCTGGCATGCGTGCGTGCGGCCCGGGTTCGATCC